GCACTGACTACGTTGTAATGGCTGACGCGGAAGGTTGACCTGCGGGAGCGCCGGGGACGACGCTCAAAAGAGGAGGGAGGCTATGTAATACGATAGTGGTTTATCCCTTGGTTCTGGTGAGGCGCCACTTTTGTACTTTGAATTAGCCCCCTTGTACCCGGCTGGGTGGGCTGGCCCTTTGGGCCATGCCAATAGCCCAGACACCTTCTCTGTGCTGAATACATATATTCTGCCCTAGTATTCTGTCTTCTTTCGTCTTCAGGGAGTCTGGGGACGCTACAATACTTTTCCTCTTTTCCGATTCATTAAGTGATTTTCATTGTCATTAGTATCTATCCTCAATCTACAAGGCCAAAGAGGTCCGATTTACTTTCTCTTATTATTTGTACTTCCAACTCGTTAATTTGTCCCCCAAAGTCATTAGAGTGAATCCACTACGTGATTTTTTGCGATGACGGTGTGGAACTACAAATATTTTTATAAAATGTGATCCCTCTAGATTTCACAACTAGGCTCAAATTCCTAGAACTTTTGGTGTATAAGTCAACCTCCCCTCGGTACTGTTGATGTTCCCGACCCTTGTGATTTTCCGCCAGCTCTTGACCCATTTATTCACAATCAAATCTGCTCATGCGGTGCTATTTCGGTGCAAATTAGTGCGTTGTATTGTTTAGTTTGGGTTCGATTTTATTTTTTTTTTACATTGGAGGATAAAACAACCTATGTTTGTCATGTCCTTAACCATCGGCTTCTCTTTCGTACTGATTATGATAGTTTTCCGAACCTGCTGATCCGTATTGATGGATGCTGTTTGTATTTTTCGTTGTACGATGTTTTATCACAACATTCCTCAGTCTTTCGTTTTGCACTTTTGAGACTCATTTATACTTTGTCTTCTCCTCAGAGTCGGAAGAAATTATTCATTCTGGTAAAAATAGCATATTTATTTGCCTCTTTGTGTATTCGTTTTTCTTAATTTAACATGGATTTCTGCAAATATCTTTCTGTTTATTTTGCACATTTTTAGTTGGTTCAAACCGACTTTTTCTGGCATTAAGGTATCGGATCGGTAAACGGAATGCTTAGTGCCTTTTTGAAAAATCTTCATTCTTTCCCAGTAAGTTTTTTGTCATTGATATTGTTCTCATAAGTGTAGAAACCAAATTCCGGGTTCAGATTTGTGATAGTCACAGGCAACGAGAGTTGTGACCTGGATAGCATTGCCTGCGCAACCTGTTACGCCTACATAAAATCGAAGGTAAGTCAAATTTTTGCTCTTTAATTTTGTTTTCTGTTTTAGGAGGATCTAAGCGATAAAGCCATCTACATCCCCTACTGTAATATACCTGAATCTGACCTCGATTTGCGCACGGAAGCCACATTCTGGTTGAGAAACTGTCAGATTGACAAGAAGGACCTGTTTTTCACCGGCAGCTTGGATTGGTTGTTGACTCCAGAATACGCAAACAAATTATCGGTCATTTTGGTTGATCATTTTCAGAAAGAATCAGGCAATGCCTTTAAATTCTGCCCTGTTGTTGAGATAATTGATCACCACCCTCTTCTATCAAGTTATCGAAAACCAGATACATGCAAATACTTTCTGGTCGAGAAAGTCGGTTCCTGTTCCTCTCTTCTAGTCCACGAACTTTTCAATCGACTTCCGCGAGTGTTGACACCACTAGAGCTTTGTCAACTGTTGTATGGTTAGTTGGTATTCCTATGCCATTTTCAACAATCGTAGGTGCAATACTGATTGATACTGACGGGCTGTCGCAACAGGCACTAGATATTCAGAAGGCGACTCAGAAAGACGTGGAGGCTGTGCGGAAGTTAGAAGCCTTTGCTGGAGCGGAATTGCTCGCTAAGGGGACCACGAGGGCAACCGTTTACAGCGAGATCTTGGCGGCCAAATTTTGTATCGATGGTAGTCATCCATTATTCTTGTATACCAGACTAACCAGTTTTGGCATAATGATAAAAAGTTTTTTTATTTACCTCTAAATGATCACCTAGAACGCTTCTCATGACGTCATTTGTGCAAGTGTGAATACCAAAACCTCCATGCCAAACACTGGTACCAGTGAACTCGTGCATTAAAAATATCAGTTGACCTGGATATCTGCTGCTTTAATTTTCGGCCATCTCTCCCAATTTGTTTTCTCATAAAATTTTCTGGAAATTTTGTGTAGTAATATCAAATTTATGGGTTTACGGGTTGAAAACGCATTACTTCATGCTTATTCACACAAACTGCTGCTTCTTCATGGCTACCACAGGCCTATGCAACAACTGATTTATTTTGCAGGTCTTTCACTTTGGGATCTACTCCGGAGAGATTGCAAAAAAGTTTTTGCTGGCTCCGAAACCCACCCAGATATTGTGTGTTCCACAATCACAGGAATGGACTTTAAGGTAACCCCTGTTGCTGTCTTTTGTGGCGTTGATCGTTTGTTGCGTACATCACACTGTCCCTCATGTGTTTTCTCGTTGACTTGTGTAAACCCGAATTTTACGTGGACAAATTTGCATTAATATGAAATGTTTCCCTTTTTAGGAGCTTTTAGAGCACCGCGAATTTAGCCAGGAGGCAACTCGATTTTGTGAGGAGCAGAACGCACGGGTGCTGGTGTGTGTGACGGTCGGACTGACCTCTCTATGCACTTGCGACCAATCTCATGATGATCCAATCGCTACACCGTTACCCAGAGAATCTCGTCGGGCCGTTGTTGTCACTGCTCCTGCGCAGCAACGCAATCTCTTGGACAGTGTGAGTGATATCCCACTCATTCTAGCGGTTAGCAAAATGTTGATAATACCTCTACTTTAGATAATAAGTAGCATGTTGCACATAATGCTTTGGTATGCTGCCAACGCTGGGAGAATTGCGTTATCTGAAATGGTTTCCAGTCCATCCTTTTTCAGACTTTGTAAGATTTTCCAAATAATTTAGGACTTATGTAGTTGAAAAATGCATGTCCGATTTAAGTATCAAATTATTGGTCGCTGTTCATAAATTTCCGCGCTTTTTTGCACGGCACGGATTAATTTATTAATTGTTCTCTCGGCAGCCTCATTTCCCGTCATTTAAAGTCATTGAGTAGCGCTGTAAGTGTTGAGATAGCGTGCTGTTTGGTTACAACTGGTGTAATTGATTTAATGCGCCCCCCAAGGTGATCTTGGCTTTGTCTTTTTGTTTTGTCTATCCCGTACTACACCCTTCGCGGGTGTGGCAGACGCCAGCTTAGCTATTTATTATTTTATCACTTGAATGTGAATCATTTAATCTAGCGCATTTTCGCTCTTACGTCCAATTTTAAAGCAAACAGCCCATTCGACAGTTGCATCGAAGGTGTGTCACTTCGTGTTTGGTGGAATTCTTTGGAATTTGAGTGTCTTCATCGAGAGCACCTTGCATCTGGAAGATGAATGCTACTACATTGAGTTACATTCTTTTTTTAGTTCCTGTTAAATAAACGTTTATCTTTAATATTTTTTCAGGCACACCTTCATATTTATTTGGCCCTTTTTATTCGCAAAAGTAGTACATCCCTAATTCATATCTCTAGCGTTGTAGTAATGGAATTTCGCTTAACATTTTTGCTATCTTGGGGGGTGGGGATTTCAGAAGTAAAATTGGCTTCTACGGCCCATATATTTTAATGTGGCACTGATTACTATTCATTGTCTCGACCGCTTTAACTTCTGCTAAAAAAACTTGCAAAATGTGGTTACCCTTCGATCTGCGCATACAACATCTTTTTTGCCGTTTTGAAGCCAACCCGTCTGTTTGCGACACTACTGCGTGCGAATTTTTATCATGACCTGATAAGGAACACATGTCACGCACTTATGATGCGGAACGTGGGTATGACAATCAGAGCAAGTCTGTTGTTTTTTTCACCTTATGTCACCCAGCTCTTCATTATACCGTTAATAAATAGCACTAAAGCCGTCTTTGCTACCCGTGGTTTTTCAGTTGTGGGCCTACCTGATGGCAAATGCCAAGGAGTTTCTCTTGGACCGCCCTTCGGACGGAAAATGTAGCTGCAGCAACAGTGGTGGCGAAGTCGAATCCGGTGTCTATGTTGCCCTCATCACTAACAAGGCAGTCACTCGCAAGCAGTTGATTCCAATTCTCATCGACTTCTTGCTCTCCCAGAAGTAGCATCCTATTCGGGTAGGTCCTTTCGACCTCTATGGCAGTTTCATTGTTTTCTAGATGATTTTCCTAAAAATGAATGCAGCCCACTATTTCTTATCACCAAATGTTAATGACAAATTTCACCAATCTTTACCATCATGTAGGTTATTCGAATTTCAGTTTTCACCGTTGAATTTTATCCAATTTGAGGTCTTACTCTGCTTCCATTAATGGATTTTGTGCCTATAGACATCCCATTTTTTGTGCCATCATTTAGTCTTGGTCATTACTTCAAGGATACGCATAACATTGTCGGTACAGGGTAGTGGTTTTGTGCACACTTCCGAGACTTGAATGCTCGCACTTTGCCTCTGTGTATTGGCACTAAGTGTGTGCTTATTTTACCGTGCTCGTCTTTCCAAATAGCATCCCGTAACCCGGATAAGCGAGGCCAGCAAATTACAGGACACTGTGTGTAAGGTCTATTTTCTAACTCCTTTTAATGTATTGATGCATCAGTAGAAATTTGAGCTTGATCATCGCGATACAAAGAAATGGACGCATATTACGCAATGCGTTTCTGCGGTCAAATTTCTACCCCCATAGTGCCGCTTCTTATCCCAATAGTGTTTAGCTCATTAGGCAATTGGTAATCATATCATCATTACTCTTTTGCCTAGTGGGGGTATGTGTGCATTAGTAACTTAGCTTGCTGTTCCCTGGGCAGTGTGGAGCCCTCTCACGCACGGCTGCTGTTCTACCCACCCTCCCGTCTTCTATCCTTGTAGGGTAGGAGATTAATGCTGTGTTGCAAGGCTTAGACGCTGGCAAGGCCTTTTGTTCCTTTGGATCGTTGTGAGCAGAACTCGTAATCTTGTGAATGGGAGAACTACTTTTTAAGCCAAACGATTACCTAAGGTGACGGTCCATACGGTTGTGAAACGTAGCTATCCTATGAATTCATTTTCAAGCATCACCAAGTATTATCCTTCATACGATTGGTCTATGATCATCAATGTAAAAAGGATAGTACCACCCTTTTCACCTACGCTTATAACCACCATCTTGCTAAGAACTGGTGATCTCATTTGCCCAGCTGTTGAGATTGCTGGGGTGCTCCACCTATACGTCTTCAAGCGTACTGTCCATTCTCCTGAAATGTCTCATTTACTTGGTTTCGTAACATCATTAAATATGTCGGACGCCAGTAGGCTATTTTTCCGTCTTTTCAACTGGAATAGCAACGGTTAATCCAGGAAGCATTAGAAATTGATCACAATACGTACGTTGAAACTGGATTTTCCACTGACTGACCTTCATGGACACCTTTATACCCTTTACACCTTTACATCCCCTGTGTCTGCTTGCTTCGCGCCTGTGGATGAAATGTGATAAATACTTGCAAGTGTTTCCATGCGATATTTTCATGTCTCTCGGATTTATAACAACTATGCACCAAGCTTTGCATTATCACCAACTGCAAATAAGCATTTCTTATTTTTTTATTTTTGGCTGGACAAAATCGTACATTTCGTCTGCAGTCTAATTTTACTTGCAAATGTGCGACCTCGTTACAGGAAAACCTCATGACCCGGGTCTTGTGCTGTTTTTCTCCATCTCCAGCCCTACGTCTGTCTCATCTGGTCTCTCTAAGCGTCCCAGTTGGTGGAAACGTCGCAGCGATGTGAAATTGCATGCTGAGATGTTACCGATTGTTCGCACAAACTCTTCGAAATTGGGCGTCAGGGTGCCCAATCTTGTCAAAAATAGGAAGACGTAGTTAGTGAAGTTTGTCTAGAGATGCGTGTTCAAGCCTAACCGTGGGGGGGTTTGTGACCTTTTGCATATCCATTTAGTTCTGTGTTTCCTTTCACCTACGCGGCACTGACGCAATTGCCATATGGGTTGGGGGGATTGAGGGTTCTCATGCGCCCATAACTACTGCTGCTGCCAATCCTACCGCCTCTGCCTGCCAATCTGTTTCTGTATATGTTTGCATTCGCGTGACAGCGGTGTGTCACAAATCGCAAATCACTGCCTTTGCGCAACGCCCTTGCTGTCATCCTGTTTCGACTTTCCGTTTGCTCCCCAGGTACGCTCTCCTTCTCTTATTCTGGTTGTTGGTGTTCAGTATCCAACAAAGAAGACGATTTTTCATCGAAGCACGCGGTTGCGACGTTTTGGAAGGATGAAGGCACATATTCCATGCGGCTTCATAATCGCATTGTCAAGCTTTAATGACCTGTCAGGCTGAATGGTAGATAGTGCAGCATCCCTGATCATTTCTCGTCTTAACTATCGAAATCTCTTTTGATGCTTTTGGCTCATTTCTCCCCCAGTTTTTGAGACCCAACTTGCATAAGATTCATGCTGACATGATTTGAGGATGGAAATCCACATTGTCGCAGTCCATCTTACTCACGAGAGAGTATTATTTCATGCTGGTGTAAGCATATTGTCATTTATGAATCAGGTACAGCTTAGAATTCCCGCTTTATAGTTCTGGTTTGAATAATTGTAAAGCGCCTAAATTCTTTTTCGTTAAAACCTACCCACACACGCAAATACTAGCTTTTTCGTGTTCATTCGAGCAAGGCATCGCTATGGCTGCATGGTGCAGGGCTGTGGGCCGGGAAATTGGGCACAATCGAGGGGGCCTTTGATCCATTTTTTAGCTGCAATAAATGATGTCCATTTGTTTACTATTATTGTCCTGGGCACCTCCATATTGTCTCCATAGATGCTTGTTGTTCATGCATACGTGTTCCAGCGAAAGTAAACATTAAATAGTTATTAAAGTGGTAGATTTGGAATTGTTGTTGAAAGATGATTGTATGCAGTTCAGACGTTTGCGTGTTTGGTCATCACATTTAGAATTTTTAAAGCTTAAGTTGATAAATAGTTAATTCAAACTTTAAGAGGCGTGTGATCCCAGTGTACCTAACTTTCGGTGAAGTAAAATCCACATTGATTGTATTTTTGCAGGGGTTTTGCCTTCAAGATTGAAGTTGCCTTCCGAAGTGGAACTTTTCAAACCGTAAGTCACTAGTCACATCGCTTCTTTAAGAAACTTCGAGCTGCCTGTTACGGAAGGGAACCCGTATTCGAAAATATCATTTTTTTACTTGTCTACTGTTCTCTGAAGTACCTCCGATAAGGGCTTGAAAAGGTAATCACAGATGGAAGCGAAGGGCTGAGATCTTGATATCAGTGCAATGAAACAAGAATGTTCATGCTGAACGGAAGAGGCATCAAGTCCAAAAGCTGATACTTAAGAATTTCCAATATTTCACCTAGAATGGTTAGTTTCTAGCTGTACCCGTGCTTATTATCCAAACTTCTGCTTCCGTCTTGATTTTACTTTTCAGTTCCAGACCCTTTGTATGCCACTTGTATTTTGGATTTTGTTGAAGCTACGCGAATGTAGCGTCCATTTCATCTCTAAATGCGTTAGTAGATCAGGAAACATTGCTGGCTGGGAGACAAGCGGGACAGATGTCATAAACAGAGTTTCGTGCCGGCTTTGAGGCTAAGTGACGGGTGACAGGAAAGGTCTGTGCATCAAACTAATAAATTATTGTTTTAACTGTACACCTCTGTAAAATACTTAAATGTGTTGTTTCTCGAGATCCTGTGCCCATTTTTTTTAGCCAATAGGTGGGTAGTCGTGTCTACTGATTACCAAGACCATCAGCACCACTTTTGTTCTAAACTTGACTTTAGTTATATGGATCTGGAAATCTGTTCTAGGAGTGCGTACTCTCGTTCTTTCTGGTCCTCAATGAGTTAGATACTCTGTAAATTCACTTCAAAAATACTTGAAAATTTTTCTTTACTCTTTAGTTCCGTGTAAGAATTTACTGATTTGTAGTTCCCAAGTCTCGTGTTACTCCTTGTCTAAAGCCCATGCCTTCCTGAATCAAACAATGCCTTTGAGTCACTCCTATTGCATGCGCCCATATTGTTGAAAATTTCGTCCGTAAATTCGCCTTTAACCCCCCAACTTTTGTTTGTTTATTTTGTTTGGCAGTAAACACAGACGATTTTGATCGTGCCACCGTTTACATCACGCCATCCTAGCAGAAAAGAGTACACGCACACACGCAGTGGCAACGAGGGGCTTTTTTAGACAGACAGCCTGAAACTTTGATCACTTTAAATTCTTTGGGCATGCTCGTGACTTGATGTTCGGTCTCCCCTCCAAACGTCGACGCTAACCTCAAGTAACTCCTAATTAAGGACTTTCCTAAAGTCAATCGTTGCTTTTTTAGGGCCACGTAACCTAGATTTCCTAAACTCACCCATTATTAAGTGACGTCAGTTAAGCGATGCTAAAATGACCATCTTACGCTCACCTATTATAAATTCCTTCGGTGGTGATCGCTAACACTCAGCATTTTCTTTTTCAGATTCACTTTGGACCACCTCATTCTCTCTCATCGCCTTTAATGTCACTTCCCATTTTCGAGACTCTGTGTTTTTTGTCGCCTAGGTACAGATATCACAATAAAATTGGTTGCCAGCAAGCTTACGCCTTTTGTTCTGCACCTGGTAATGCGTTGACTCCTGTTTGACTATGACTTCTCACCTTTAAAATGAAAAATGATTCGCCACATTATCATGCATGCAGCATAAAAATTGGAAGACTACTTAAAAGAAACTGGTATTTTTTCCGTTAGTAATCAAACAGTAATGGCTTTTCCCTCATTACAGATGGCTGTCAAAAGCCTAGTGGGGAAGAACCTCGGTTTGCCATTAAGCGATTCGTCGTCATGCGTGTCCCGAATTTCAGTGTCAATTAAGAGCTGGTAGTGCTCATAACTTCATGCAGCATTGGAGTCTCAGACTGCTGTGTTGTCGGTTTTGATTGTCGCTCTCCTTGTCCTTTTCCCCTTAGCTAAGCTGTCCTCGCATTGGTCCACTCTGGTGGATGGCAGTCCTCCAAACCACCAGACAGAAAAGCCCATTTTCACGGCAAATCTCACTCGATGCAAGTGCCTGCCCACTAATCACCTACTGACATGCTTCGTTCATTACCATGGGATTGGTATTGTATTATCAGCATCTCGTTTGATAAATCTGGCTTTTGGGTGCACTCCTGTGCATCGGTAGAGTTGTGTGTGATTTGGGGACGCACACTATAGGACCGTGGAAGGTTGATTAAAAGGACCTTATCAAATTGCTTGAATGGTTCGTCGTAGTCAGATGACAAACTTCAGGTGTTTTTCGTAATCCCATTAATTACACTTGATTTACTATGGCAATGCGTGTATGCTGCACTGTTCCGAAGTCGTTTCACGGCAAACAATCTCACGGCATGATTTACGGAGCTACAATGGAACTGCTGACTTCCACTCTGTCCTTCTAACTTGTCAGTTGGCTGCTTGACGTTTGTGACTATGTGTCATGATTTCACAAATAATGGCTCCCAAAGACTGTGTAGCACTGAATAACACAAAGGTTGTCTGTGTAGTCCTCATCTGCGTGAAGTTGGGAAATGAATTCCTAACACTGATAAAGCAGAATTAGTGGATTTCCTTATCTTCCCTTTCCACCACTAAGTGAGGTCTATCTGGTGTTGCAGCCCATAGGTCTCGGCTTTACGAAATACCTCCATATATTTTCAACTTACACGATATCTTTAACTCCCTCCTTAGCAGAATTTCAAAGAAAACTCGGCTTTCATAGCTACTTAGATGATAAATAGTTCTATCTATCCACCAGCACTTACATTACTGATTCGACCAACTCGACTGTTGGTCAAATTTGCTTATCCGCAGGTCAAGAACACCCCTCTTTCATTGTACGGTTTTAAACTCAACTAATGGTTTACAACATACAGTTTGGTACAGCAAGTTATAAACTAAAAAAACACGTGGTGCATATTTGTGACTCCGGGGTTCGGCTATGCAGATCGTGGCGTCGCATGCTTGTGACGTTTGTAATGTTAGAGTTGCATCTTACCCCTTTTACTTGCCTTCCTCATGAGACGAAGTGTTGGTGAAATCAAAGACATTATTGAGTAGATTTACTTGTAGTGGGGTTTTTGTTGTTCCTCATGCAAATTTAAAACCAAACAGTCTAAATTGAAGTGTTCAAAATGCGTGCATAGCGGGATGAGTAAAGAGCAACATTCTTTCTGGTGCTTTTCCTTGAATGGGATTATTTGAGGGTCCCATTGTCAAAATGGTACCATGACCACGACTTGTGAAGGTGAAACTGTCAAGTTTGTGCGCTATTCCTACTCCTTTGCTTAGTGACAACAAAAGCAGTGCCACATCTACTCTCTAGCAATGCCAGTTAAAGCAAATAGTCGTGTCTTGTCCACAGTCACTCCGTACTATTGCCGTCCGGTTAGAATTGTTCGAGTGGTTACTAATTGAACTGTTTTATATTTATTTGAAGCGAAAATGGTAGCAAGAAGGAGGTAGACACCCATCCTGTGGTCTCAAGAGGGTCGAAGTTAGTTAACATCCCCTCTTTTAAGCTATCTGAGGCGTCTGCTTGTTGGTTCTGGTGCGTTAAAACCTCCCCTTTTCCCGCGTGCATAAAGACCTCTTAAGTGAGTATCCACTCGGTTATCGCGTAGACCTGTTAAACGTTTCGGATAACCGTCGAGTGAAAAGAAGTCGTTTTCTTTGACACGTAAACAAAACTTTCCCAAAAAAGTATCCGAAGATACATGTTTTGCCTTTTGGTCTTTCTGCTTTGCACAACTCCCACCTAGTCTACCACCTCTCTGTCAGTCAAATCTTGGCCACCGGTAAACACAGCAGTCTATGACTTTACTCTTCTTTCCTCCATTTCACAGTAGTCATTATGTGAAAGAATCACGTCTTATTTTCTTCCCTTCCATCTATCAAAATCACATTTTATCAGTTCATTTTTGTTGACCATTACTGACTAGGTGACCTTTTCTTCTAGGAAAGGTCTACGATTTGGAAAGGGCCACCAAAGGTGACACTTGCCAGACAGTGCTATTTTCTGGGATAACAAAATGACTTCAAACGCGTCTTTTACCGACAAATTTAGCATTTCAGTAAAGTGACCAATCTAATTGGGAGGCAAAAAGCCATTTAGATATCAAGCATCTCGAACCTTTGTCTGCTACTGTGTGCTATTTCACATGGGTAGATTGGACTCTCCAGCCTGTTAATGACTTTGTGGACTTATTTTTACGTCAGAACGGTGGGAAATCCTAAAGTAAAAATGCTGAAATCCTACATCTTCATGTCGATTCCTGAGTTACCTGAAACCGTAAGTTGTGGAAGTGGATCTTATGTTCTCCTTCTTTACTCTCCTAGGGAAGCATTAAACTCCATTCTCAAAAGTTCTACTTGCTCAAAAAATCAGGTGAATCTGACCTGACCTGAACTGCTTTTAACGCCATAGCTGATGCTTGAGATTATGTAATCGTCTCGATTCGGCCTCTTTAATATACGACGCAGCTAAATCCGACAATCATTCTGCCGACGTTTAAACATTAGCTATTCCCTCTTTTACCGTCCAAAAAAATCAACCACCTTACCTTACTTTCTATCAAATCATAATCCATCGTAGAAAAAATCAAATTTTCCAATGTCTAACTTTCGTCCAAACCCACTCTTTAAAATCACTAATGCCTTAAATGGAAATGTAGTCCTCCAACGAACTCGTGAGTTGCCTTTCCTCCATCGCCATCTGTCATTGGAGAATCAAGACTGCAGCCATCTGTCGTTATGCAAGTAATTTTTCAGTCCATTAGGCAAGAACTGTTTTGTTGCATATCACACAGGCGGTGGGGATTCGCGGTCTTTCTCTACGAGAAAGTCCTACGCCCTTCCTCCCGTGCCTTATTTAAAAGACTGATTGCTGCTTGGAAGACATTTTTGCAGTACGCTAAGCTCCTCTACACTAAATTAAACCGAAAGATGGAAGTTTTTCCAGTACTGAACATTTTCAAGATTGCTTTAGTTTGGGAAATCATCCTAAATTCAACTGACTAGTGCAAACAATAACAAAGACCTCCCATATTTCGGTCAGGCCAAAGCCTCATTCATCGACACCTCTGTCACCATTGCGTCTGCATTACTCCCCCATCCAATGTCTACATTCGCCGTCCGTCTTTGTTGTTGGATCGCTTAGCAATGTCTCCTTTAATGTCAATGTGGGTTCCATGCAAGGGTGCTGGAGTGTTTACGAATTTAGTTTGTTTTCGAGATAACAAGTACCCTCATTTTGTAAGCTCCTTTTGATGGTTGCGAAATTCGTGCTTCTTAAAACGTGATCATCCAGCCCTCCTTAGGCGATCAAATGGTCATAATAGAAGGGCAACCCGTCGATTTAAGTAGTACAGGGTTTGGAGTTGTCAGTAGCTGTCAAATATTCAATTGGTAACATACGAAATAAGGAAGTAGGATACATTTAATCACGTTGTCTGTACCCTTTTCTACTTTGTTACAGGTGTGCTAAGGATTGACCCAAATGACTGCAAGAAGCAAGGTATCATGGAGAACTCATTGCTTCTCTTTGGTCTCCTAATTATCATTACTTTTCTTCACACCTTTTTGGATTCTAACTCGATCTCGGAGATACCTGAACACTTGCTTTTAAAAAGACGGCAATGCTACAGAGACTTTTATTTACACTTTATCCTCGGCCAGTTCTAGGTTCCTGTCTTTCAAATATTTTTCAGTACTTTTTTTTTCATTTTAGACTCTGAGGCTTTTCCGTAAGTTGCACAAAACTCGACTTGTTGTCTTTAAGGATGATGATCTCGCTCTTGCACGTAAGTTTTCTTGGCCTAAAACAATGTTCCGATGGAGAATTATCCTTTCTTGAGTGCTAAAATGAAGGACTCACTAATCATATTAACATTGTGAGCCGATTTAAATGCCAAAAAGAAAGGCTGTCTTAATTTTTTCCTTCCTCGCCCCTATATTGCAGCTAGTATTATGCCCTTTATGCATTTTCCCTGAGTTGACTCAGTTCTACTCCTTAACCTTCCATAGAGTTACCCTGTAAGTTACACCCCCTCTAGAGGCCATTAACATCCATGGTCGAACACACCCTCACCGATGTTGACCCTCTTGATTCTGCTCACGAGCCTTAAAATTGATAAAGATTTGATACGTGCGAGATAATAAAAAGTGGTTTGACTTGAGTAGATTAATGACAGAGGGATGCAAGGGCACTATCTGCACCTCTCATTCGCCTTTTCGTTGCCCCAGGAGGGATACTTTTCCGGCGCACCACTGCCCGCTTTTGATGTCTCCAACCCCACGCCTACCATTAAACTCTCACCAAACGAGATTGATGACTAGAGCAGTGGGACTGGGAGAGGAATTGTGTACTGGTTTGCCGTCTTTGCTAACCCCCTTTCCATAAGTGATCGTTGGACACCCTTATTATGCTCTCGATTTTCACTTTCGCCTATAGTAAAACCGCTTTCGGGTGGCTGCTCTCATAAGCACACGCAGACCTTTAAGTCCGGTCATTAGGCGTTCAGTGGGCAGGAGGGGGCTTTATTTTAATTTATGGCAACCATGGTAAATGCTGGTTGTTGTGATTCGTTGCGGTGACTCCTAAAATCTGGCTCATTAGCTTATCCTTTTCACTTTCGAGAATGCACATGCGACACGTTGAAAACATGCTCCTCTAATTTAGGATAATAATCTTGCCTGAAAGTTTATAATCTATCAGTTTGTCACTTACCGGAGAAAAAAATTCTTTTTTAGAAACTCGAGCAAAAATAAACGAGGAATTTCGCGAAAATGCGAATGTAACGGATCTGGCGAAACTGGATGAGGTGAGGTTCTCGTCGGGTTTTGATGGCTTGATTGTGTTCTTGTGTATTCCACGAAACCATTATTTATGAACTCCCACTTTCGTCATCAAAAGACTTTGGGTGTACTATTCCGCCTTATCATCAGTCAAAAGGCCGCAGTATCATGTTGGGTCCCTTGATTTATGTTTCCACACCATTGCTATTCCTCGCGCCACAGCCTACCTGTCTACTTTAAACCAACCTCATGAAAGTAATCTCATTTTCCTTGGTACAACCGCAGTAGTATGCTAATATTACCCTAATAGCTAGGGGGATTGGGCATTAGACCTTCAAACGCTTGCGAAAAGAAATTCTGGGTTGATTTTGGTTTTGGTTGACCATTTAAGAAAAGATTAGTAGTTTGAGGATTAAAATAGTGAAGGATGATGTTGTTGCAGTCAAATGTTACATGGACATCACCTGTACCTCAACTAGTCCGCGTCTGGCGGCTTTATTCCTTCCCTCAAAAAAGATATCTTAATTCCATAACTTGAGATGGAAAGCATACGGCGTGGTATTGCTATCGTCAACCACCTACAGGCGAGGCGCTTTAAAGTAGCGTCTTCATGACCAGTAGCGTCGTCATCCGGTTTTGGAGACGTGATTATGTGACCACACCTCCCGCATGATAAATTGTTTCATGTGTTATAACTCCTGGTTAGCAGGTGGGTTTACTTTTGACCAAATCAAGTCTTCGCTAACTGCTCTCGGTGGTTTCTCTCCACAGCTTTGGAACTTCGGGGAGGATATCAATCGGCTTCTTCGAAAAACGGTTATTCAATGTGAATATGATGAGCAGACTGGGCGATATAGTAAGTGTCCTCCGCAGAAAATAAATACATGTCTAGCTTTCTTGCCTATAATTACAGTCTGTCACAGTGTTCAAGTAATTTTCTGAAATCTTATCCTTTTTAGTTGGAAAGTTGAGATCCCTTTGAGTAGTAAATCAATGTAGCTCTACCCTTCCTCCTGTTCTAGCAAGCGATTAGTTCTATCAGTCAATCCTGCGACCTATTAGCAATTCCTAGCATCCCCGATCATTCATACTCCTTTATTAATAAGAATTTTTACTGATGAAGGCCTTACAATTTCACTACATCACGGTGGTGTCATTTGGATCACAAATTTAGTGCCGCCCGCTGTCGGCTGAGTATTCAATCAAGAGAGGGAGGAAAAAGACTCCTCACTTCACCATGCATAAGTTTTTATGTTTCGTCGAGGGAAGGTCTGCGAGGGGCAGTAAGTGGGTGGGGCGTAGGCAAACCAAACTGTCCCAGCTGCACGCACGAGATCGCAGATTGCGTCTCGGGCTTGTTCGGACGGGTACGTCTCACACACTGTTCCTGCGACAACCGCATGACCGCGATTACATACACTGTTTGGAGGTAAATTAGAGCAGGCGGGGCGTGAGTAAAAGTTGAGCCACACGTCCTGTATTCTGGTTGGGTCCCTCCATCTGTGTATGACTTCTATTTTTAATTTCACCACGGTCACCGCTACCGTCATGTAGGTTTGACAACCCGATTTACCAACCCGAGCCCGATGTCACGCCCCGTAACACCTGTGATAGCACCTCAGGTCAGTCGAGCTTGTTGGATGTTCCCGGTCTGAGGCGGATAATCATGCTGTCGTTTTTAAGCAGTATTCGGTTAGGTAAAAAAAACAATGACAGCTGATATACTGTATTAGATCACTGAAACAGTTTGACTGTGGCTGTCATTTTTTGCAGATAATACTTTTCTTTGCGAGTGTCGAATTTGTTTTCAATTGGGGCCAAAGCAAGCTCCGTACTCTTCGTTTCAAACATGCAAATTATTAGGCAATAAACAACATTGTCTTATGACTCTTCTTTCTACGCTAAATCAATACCTGTTGCTATATTTGAAAAGGTACTAACCAAGCGGTAGGTTTTGGGTTGCCAAATCCCTGTCTTGCAAGCTCGTTCCAATGTAATCTACCATAGTAAGATAAGATTTTTTCGACTACATCTTTTCTGAAGGCATCACTTTATAGTTGCACCTCTTTCAGAAGCAAATATGCGCAAGGAAATTGTGCTGGACGATGAAACCGACAGGAAAAAATGAAAGATCTCCACTTTGATCCTTACCCTCCCTTGGTGTACCTTTTGAGGAAGTAAGAAAATTGCCATCCGAATGCCTTTATTCAAGGCGAGGTCTGTGTGTGTGTGTGTGTGTGTGTGTGGTTTATTAGAAGGGGGAGAGGGGTGGGCTTTTAAGGGTCTGAAAATCCCACTTTAGGGTGTCAGCTAGAACACACGCACGCACGTGCGTTTGTTTGGCCCTCCGTGACTGGCCCAGCCGCGGCCAATGATCGCGTGCCTAGGCGACTGCGGATTGAAGGCGATATAAATACGCACAGGACCGAGCATTGGACCGCGCTGTTAGTACTGATCTCTCGCTCCGTGCACGTGTATCTTCTCTCACCTCGTTATCTAACCAAGTAGACTCAGCACCACAGCATTGTCCGAGGGTTTGAGCAGTCTCCTCCATTTGCGAAGTTCAATAGTGTGCATTTGTGGATGTAATCGGGACCGCGATGTCGGTAGAGAACAAGTATTCTCCGGGCGTTGCGGTGGCCAAACCGAAGAAGACCCTTGTCATCATCCTCGCTATCCTCCTTGCCGTGATCACGGCTTTGGCGCTCATCTTTTTTGGCACAACCCTCTACTTCCTGTTGATTAATAAAAGTGGCCAAGGCATCGATGATGCGGGTAAGTAGCTGAGTTGCCATTCGTTAAAAAATTACTTTGTTAGATCTAGCCTTTAATACAAGAAACTAATTTCCTTCTGCATCATTTCCTATGCTAAGATAATGAGCTGATTGACAACAGCGACTTCGCCTTTTATGTTACCACCTCGCTTCCTCTCTGACAGAAGCCGGTAGTCGTCGAAAATTGGTTTCAACATCTCGGTCCTTTGTTTCGGTACTGGGAAACAGTTATTTCGACTGGAAAAAAGATAAATTTGTTTACCCAAGGCGTAGGCTTTCATGTCGGTGATTGCCAACAAACACCAGAGGCCAGTTGTCAGTTTAGTAAAAGTCCCCGAACGTTCCACTTTGTCATTTTCGTGCAAATGTCGCATCACCATGTTTCGAGACGGACAAAAGATTGCCACTTCTTTTGGAGACATTTTGGTAATTTTAACACATGTTTCTTCTTAGATCTGATTTTCTTCGATCGTCGTTCAGTAATTTACGGAAATGAGTGTCGGAAAGATAAATACAACTTTGATTTCTGTTGAGCACAAGATCTTAACGGCCTTTTTTAGATTTTTTTTTGACAACCATCTGTAATAATGTTATCCCCTCTGAATCTCCTTTCATAGTGCCACCTCCCGAATATGATTGCTTTCACAAGCCCTATGCGAGGAGATCAAGTAGAATAGGACACTCAACACTTACCAATGGTGGTAAAAGCTCCTTTTTATCAAAATCAAGTTACCTCAAGAGCTGAAACAACCAAAATGGATTTTGTTTTCCCTTCGGAATGCCTACAAAACTGACCCATTCTCTTAAATGAATAGATATACAGTGATTGAGAGTTATCATTAATTTGGGGAAGTTGGAGATAGAAGCATAGAATGAGTAAATGTGTTTGCTCAACTTAGTGAGCCATTGCTTTAAACCAAAGCTATAGAAGGCAAAGTTGTGCCTATCCCCGCTTGTAAAGCCCTCCGTTTAATGTACCATTTAGATGGTAGTTGGGTGAGTTCTTGTTGGAGCTCAAATTATCTTAATGCCACGATTTTTTTTCCTGCCGTATTAATTATGCCGATATCTCTGCGTGGTCATTAAAAATCTCTTTGAAGGGAATACTCCTTTGACACGAGTAAGACATTTAAACGTTTTAATTATCCACTTAACTTTGACCATATCTAACTCTCCGTCCAAATTCATAGTCTATGGGACAACTTGGAATGCTCTTTCCTTCATTTAATGTCAATCGGTGGAACATTGGACATTCTTTCCTTGCACAAATGATTATTTTTGCGGAAAGTTAGCACTTACTAGGGAAGAAAGTGCTTGTGCAATCGCAATTTGAGATGAGGTCTGTAGGCTTTCCAAGCTCCATGCATGCACTTGGCCTTACTGTTTGCAGCGGTCCTCATTTCTGAAGCCCACAGAATTTATAAAATTACGTAAAGGATGAAAAATTGTGCAGCTAAAGTATATTTAACGACAAGTGGTGCATGGGTAGTGCTATTTACTTCTAAAAATTAGGCTTTGTGTCTGATTACCTTGTTCTGGTACAAGTTGTAACGCGTCTCAAAACGATGAGTTTCTGATGGAATCACACCGATCGCATCGTAGTTATTGAATGTGGGCACCCTACTTCCCATAGAAGAGAAACAATCAAATGCGTCTCAAGATTAAGTAGCCCAATCGTCTTGCACAGTATTCGCTCAGATTTGGTTTCCCTTTGAAAATACCCACAGAATTTCAATCTTGTTGGTGACTTTTGGACATTGTATGTCAAAACCACATGAACATCATCAAGCATTAAGTCTGTATAGGAAAGATTTCGCTCACAGCCGCTTTGAGCAGGCGACATTTTAAGGCCCCGGACGGCTTTATCCCCGTTTCACAAGTATTCAAAGGATGGAACTAGCACAAACCATGAAGGTATTTCTGCTCTCATAATCGCGTACTTAACCGCATTCATTTTTGCGACACCGAAAGGAATAATCTCCTTTAAATTTGTCAATATACATTGCCACTTTCACTTGCTGTTGTGAGTTCTGTCCCATAAACCATTTCCCTGGCTGTCCACCTCTATAGAAGCACGGCATTGTGTATGTCGTCTTCCTTTCAGGAGGAGGTAGCGTACCTGTAATTTTTATAACATATTCCTAGTTATAAATTTAATTTTGCATGTACTATCCCGTTATTCTCGCACTCATTATTTTTCAAGGAGAGCTTCTGGTATCTGCGGTACATTACTGTCCACTCACACTTGAGGTATGATATCCTGAACTGAACCCTCCTTTTGACTGTCGTTAATCTGTGTGTGAGTTTCGTAATGATTTGGTGTGGGAATTCCTCGATTTTTGAAGTGTGGATCCAGACCTCAGTAGTTCGCACACCCACATCTTTTACGCGGAGGACCGACTCCTTTCTCCAGGGCTCTCATGCACCGATTCCATTCGTTGAACCACACGATTTCTCTGTCGTGAGTAACTTTACAACTACATTTTAAAAGTACAAAGCAAGTATATTAAATTGTGGCCTAATATGGCAATTTCGGGGAAAGAATTAGTGGATTAACACGAAAAGCCTTTGAACTATTAATGTAGGTGTCAATGGAGGGACTTGTTCGTGTGACTCGAGAGTAGGGTGTACACCTATAAATTTCCCTTGCTTTGTATTTTATTTCATCTAGAGGTAAAAATTCCTTCTATGAAAGTATTCTTTTGCCTTGTAAAAAAATGTGCACTTTTTATCACAACGCCTGTGATTAACAGTTCACGCAAACCGAAAGTCTCCAAGTGGAAGTTTGACCTTACTGAGTGTAAATTTTACCTATACACCCCTTTTACTGTTTTTTTTGTGAAACACCCAACGTACTAGTTGCATGTTGGTTTAGTATTAATTACTTTTTTAACCTCAACACAACAGCATGTTACAACTGGACAGGATGCAACTAATGAGGTACTCTCTCTCTCTCACCTCGTTGGTACTGCTACTATTGTCTCCCAGCAGAAGTCTGCAGTTAAGATTCTGGGGCATTGCAAAGAATCTTGTTTAGCTGTTTTTTTTTCTTTTGAGTAGATGAAACTCTTGACAATTTGTGGAGGATACGAAAGCGAGCAGATATTCGAATCACGGTCTTCATTTCGCGTTAGGGCTCCAGAACAAACGGTTGATTTCTGTCCGTTTGCTAACGTCTAGCCACACGAAATAACCTCAGAATCACAGAATATAACTGTAATGTCAAAGGCGAGATTTTGCGGAACAGTGTATCTGGTTCTTGATTCACGCGGTTGAAGTGGTCGTCCCTTAAGCTGTTCCTGTTGTATGGCTACAAGTCTGATTTTTTCAGTCTGAAGAGAATTTGGATCTACTTCTTGATAAGTCTACTTTATTTAGGTGTAAGTTATCACACCTTCATGAGAAAACCGCGGTTTGAAGTCATAAGATACAGATATGTGCACATAACTCTTAAAACATGCAATAGATGCAGCCTTTTGTTGCTTTTTTTCTCTGGTATTCCGCAAAACGAAATCACCGTGGATAAATGGGTCCACGTTAATCAGAACAGATGTTCGAGCTAATTCCCAAAGTCTTGCGAGATAAGGCTCATTTTAGAATTGGAAATGACGGATAAATGGCGATGACCCTCCATTCATGTTATGAAAGTGGTCAATTTTGAGGTAATTTGGTAGGATTTAGCTAACCATAAACAATTTAACCGTTTGAACTATTTCCCTATGATCACTTGATGGATACAGCTCTTGTTTGTCAAAGTTAATCAACACTTTTAGGAGGTAGCTCCAACTGTGAATACAGATGCACTGATTAAGTGGATTTTACTCTCGATACTAAAACGGTTGTTTTTCGTTTGGCTTTGTGGTACTCATGTACGTGAAATCATTGGAACAGTTACTCAACCTAGCCTCTGACCTAAGGTCACAAGTTCCAACCAAGACTTGTGGGTCACATCCTTCACGCACGCGGTTGACACGTCCACTACCAGCATTACATTGTGACATCCACACGTTACCCACATGCGGTACCTAATTACAAGGAACTGAATTAAACCGCAAATACGGGAGGGGGTTAAGACAATGTGTATCGGTTGGGATTGGTGATGTTGGTGTTAAGACGATTTTTGGTGAACGTCACAGCAGCAGGAGTAGCGGCAGGAGAACCCCCGACACCAGCGGGTGTGGCGAAGGCCAATACAACAGGCTGGAGCACGCGAGTGAAGGACGTTCGACTGCCATACACGGTGATTCCACTATACTACGACCTAAGACTTCAGGCCAATATCTACGGCTCCAACGCGAGCCTCTTCAACTTCAACGGGTCAGTGCGCGTGCGCCTGCAGTGCCGCGAGGCCACGGACTTCTTCTTCGTCCACGCTTACAACGAAATGACTGTCAATCGGAAGGCCATATGGGTTCGTTGTCAAGTCATTCCTTGGCTTCAGTTCTGTTGTTTTTTGGTTCACGAAAACCCACCTTTTTAACAAGCAGCACTGCCCAACGCCATACTATCATGTACATTGGCAAATGCTTTTGACTCACCAATGATTTCTTTCCTTACAACAGAAGGGAACAAAATGTCTATCTGCATCTATAATGGTCTATAGTGAGCTGCATGTACTATCCGGACACTAGTTTTAGGTGAAGGGCAACTGTCAGTTAAATGTACCGCCCTCTGTTAATCCACTCAGCATGCCCTCGCCTGCCTACTATCACGCAATCATTTTCTCTTTGAGGTGTCAAGTTTTCAGCATTTGATATTCGCGTAGCCTGTTGTATCTATAACGCTGCCAATCACATCGATAATCATGCAGTTTTTCTTTGGTCCTTCTTGACCTCTCACAACCGGAACATTTTAAGTCCCGAGGAGAACGAATTTGAAGGAGTAAAAATGTGGGAAACAAGCAGTTTCCTGGTTTTGGGGCTTTATTATAACGGCCAAATAACGCTAAATAATCGACTTTCACGGTTAGATTGAGTAACTAGTGCTTTTGACTATTTATATGCCACTCAACTTTCCACAATTCAGCTGCACCGTGAGGACAGTGAAGTGAACCTACTAGCAAACGTCTCCTACGATCGAGCAAGACAATGGTACAGGCTGAGTACCTCAGAGAAGCTAGAGCCAGAGAAGATTTACCTCTTGTATTTTGGCGACTTCGGGGCGCCGCTCACCATCAATCTTCGGGGGTGGTATCTCAGCAGCTACGTTGAGAATAATGTCACCAAGTGAGATACGCCTTTCTTGCTTCTAGATGTCGTTCCTTCATTCCATCTTACCTACAATCTTTGGCTCAGGAATTGGAACACATTGGCTAAAGTCACTAATGCAAATGTGCCTCTTGTAGATACTTGGCAACGAGCCAGCTGCAACCAACAGACGCCAGACGTGTTTTCCCGTGCTGGGACGAACCGGCCTTCAAGTCCATATTTGAAGTAACTTGCCTTTTGTTAATATCTCACTTTCTTCTATAACGACCTTTCTAAGGACATCGCGAATCAAGTAATCTCAAGGCATTTTTATGACTAAATGGCATGTACACCATAGGCTCTTTGCCTAAAAGGCTTAAAGCAGCAGATGGTAGCTTCACATTTGCTTTAAAAGGCCTTCCCTTAACTAACTACTCTTTTGGGCAGGCCCTTTTACTAGCCAATCAATTCCTTGTACTTTTGAGTAGATCAAACTAGTACGAAGGGAGGACTTCCATTCAATGTCAAATATGCCACTGGTAGAGTCCCGACTCATCGGCAATGGATGGGTGGAGGACAGCTTTAAACCCACTCTCAACACCTCCACTTACCTCCTGGCCTTTGTTGTCTCGCAATTCGAGAGTCTGCCAGGGCTTGATGCTAAGAACAGAAATGTGAGTTCTTTCTCACTCTGCTTGCATGTCTGATAAATGCCTTCATTTATCAGTTATGGCAGATATGTAAATCAAATTAGAATTTTGGAGTTGACAAAGTGTTAAGGAAACGTAAATAATTGGAAGATGTCTTTATTTTTCCAGCTAGTTCCCGTGTTTAGCTGGTAAATGCAAAGATTCGGTATAGAAGCGTTTGTGGGTACTACTTACCTATTCCAGAACATGTTGCTCAAAATACAACAAATTTCGGAAGATTAGCCTTCTGTTCAGTTTTATGACAGCTTATGAGCCGATTAGACGGCCATCAAGAGGCGAAAGGTAAAGAGGCGCTGGCTGGAAGTTTGTCCATAGGAATGGATAATGGCTGGACTCGTGGTATATTGGAGGAAATGAAGCCTCAACAACTGGAATCGTCACTGGCTGACGCAAAGGCGTCTTTTCAACGTTGACACCATTCTAATGTCTCGCTGCTGAGCCATTGAGCGTCCCGCCGTTGCACAATAGCGCTATTTAGAGGCTTCTGTACAAAAGGGTATTCAGAGGCATTGGTTGTACTTCTTGCTTCGGAAGGCTCCTTGTCCCTTTTCGCCATCCATCACCCACTGCACGTTGTTGCATGTACGCAGTGGCATTGTTTCCTGGCCTTTTGATTGTGGGCGTCTGGACTGCAGTGTGGTGCACTGACCCACGACTTTTGCGCCGGCCATTAGTGGCAGCCATGGAACATGTTTGGCAGTTAGTATTGCTTGCAGCAGCCACAACGGTGGCATTCCTTTTTGCAGATGTAGAAGCAAGCGTTCCAGTTCGACTGGAAATCCCTTCATGCTCTAGTATTGCAATCAGTGAATGCCAGATCTCTTTTGACATTTCAGTTCACAATTTGGGCACGGCCGGATCTCATGTCCGCGGCTGATTATGCCCTTGACATCGGCAAGAAAATCATTGGATTCTTCGAGGACTACTTTGAGCTTGACTATCCCCTTGAAAAAACTGGTGTGTACTTTTAGCTACCTCAATTATTTTTTGTTCGAAAGATTAAGATGACGGAGCACACTGTTTTCTTACTCGTGATCATCCAGTTGGAATCACTTGTTTGCTTCATAATACTGCTAGTGGACGTTAATTTCTGTATTATGTCTTGAGTCACAAAGGTCCAAGTCGTTGCAATCACAGTAATCGTATCAATTACCCTCTTTGTACTTAAAGATATGTTGGCGGTTCCTCACTTTGCGGCTGGAGCAATGGAGAACTGGGGTCTGATCATCTACCGCGAGGCGACGCTCATTTGGGATCCCTCCAGTGGAACCGAATTTGCCCGTCAAAAGGTCGCTACTGTTATATCGCATGAAATCGCCCACCAGGTGAGGCTTGCTTTCAGCACCTAAAGACCCGCATAAGTAGCTCTATTGCAGGCTGAAATGAATTTACCCTATCAGAAAACGTAACCGACAAAGCAAAAGAACACGTGGCAGATACCACTGGATGCGCAACAGGACCGGTAGTTGAAAAGGTCATGCGATTTTGAACATTATCTGCCACTGCCATGTAAATGTGACGTATTTGTGATGACTGGCTGCGCCATATAGTGTCATAAACAGGTTAAAAGGATAAAGTAGATGCAGGGTATTCCTGGTTTAAGGGTAGATACATTCTTTCTACCCTCAGCAGCAGGTGAATTGATGGGATGATTAATGACAATTGGTGTCACATTAGAACAATAAAATTTTGGGCAATGATAGTGAAAGTATCAAGGGATAAAAATTAAATTAAATAGTGCTTGTTTAAGCTTTTCCATGGGGTTTTTTCCCCCAGACGTTTTTTATGTAACTATGCATGCATAGTAACTTTCTAAGTGGTGCTTTTAATAACATTGGAAATAGGATTTAACTGACGTTGGTCTCCTCCAGTAAAGTGGCAGAACAAAGGCAGAGCTGGACGCGTTCTTAAAGCATATTTATCATTGTGTTAAATACCGAACCCTATTTCTTTAATGCCTGCATTTCAAGGCAGTTTATTAAGCGTTTGGATGGTCCGTACGACATTAATCCCCCCGGGCGGTGATGTCTGGGGCACAAAGGGCCCGAAGCGCACTTCATGAAAGACAAGTGAATTAAGGATAGTAAGGCAAGAAGTTAACAAGAAAGTTGCGCAAAAAGCACATTTGCTTTACCCTACCTGGAATAAACCCGTTTTTTGGCCTGATCGCGTAATAAGGCGAGACGGAACGACTTGCATAATGGCGTCTACTTGCGTGGGTTGCAACATTTACCTTAAAGTGCGACATAAAAATTTGGTGATCTTTTTTCTTCTCCAAGTTTTCGCTGCTGCACCTAGTCGTTTACTGAATAATTTATTCACGCTTCTGAAAACCTAGAAAGTTTTGGCAGGGTCTGCAATATTTATCCACTACCCCAGTCTGTCTAGGTTTCTTTTCGCTCTGGCAATAGTACCACATGGCCGGATCGGTAATTAAAACACGTCCGATCACGATGTCTGCAAAGCTTATTGGTTACTACCGAAAGGAATCCACTTTTTTTGCACTGGGTTTCAAACTGATCATAATAATCTTTAAATTCTTGCCCAAAAAAGGAAACGGTCACTCACACCGACTGTGCTGTAGGGAAGACCGAATGTCTCAAAAATGCATAAATCAACTTGTTTTTCTTTGTTCAGTGGTTTGGTAATCTAGTGACTCTGGATTGGTGGGATGATCTTTGGTTAAACGAGGGCTTTGCAACCTTTGTGGAGTACATTGGTGTTGCTCATGCTGAACCATCTTGGCATATGGTGAGTTGCCCCTCTCTGTGTATTGCGTTAAATCTCGGTTAGGCAATCAGTCTCATTCATAACAACTAATTGAGGCCACTATATAGGATACCTCCATGCTTAACTTTAGCCACCTTCATTCGCCTATCATTCCGTATCTTCTTGTAGGATGAACAATTCGCGGTGCATCAGCTGCAGAAGGTTTTCTTTGTCGACTCCTTATCGACTACGCATCCTGTCTTCCTGCCAGTCTCGCATCCGGACGAAATTAACGATATTTTTGACGCTATCTCCTACAATAAGGTGGGTACTTTCTGCACGTAAACGCTTACTTTCATTGCCTAAGTAAAAGATTGAGAAGTGAAGTTGTCTACGATGGATAATGCACCACAAATCAAACGTCACTTTCATTATTTTCTGCTTGCATGCTCTGCTCTCGCTAAATAAATGCGTTATAACAATATTTAAGCATTCGCTATACACGCAGTTAATAAATAGTAATTCCCAGGCTTTGCTGATTCCCATGGGCGGATTTTTCGTAGGTTAGTGCACCTTCATTGATGTCTCATTGCAGTGATATTTGTCTGTGAAGAACTTGCCTTATCTTTTTCATGAAATTTTTTGCCCGGCAAAGACCGCCATGCCTGATTATACCTCAGGCTTATCAGTGTGCAATCTACTGTTCTTGCATCAGGAAGACGATGTAAGGCGTGGCCAAGCACAAGTTGTTTACTGCATAGCCATGTCGCGTTTGTAGACAGAGCTTGAAATTGAGGCAGAAGTGACCTAAGGGCTAATCGGATGGCCAAGGCTACCTCTTTAGCGACCTTTTATTCATCTCCCAGGGAGCCTCTGTTCTTCGAATGATGGAAGCGTTCCTTGGCCGCGAAGTTTTCCGTCAGGGCCTCAAGGTCAGTGAGCGTCAACACAGCACTCGGCTTCAATTTACTGTCCATTTAAAGCCTTGTCATGTGTTACTTTGTCTAGATTTACTTGTCCAGGCACAAATTCCAAAACACCAAGCCCATCGACCTGTGGAATGCCCTCACCGAGGTTAGTGTTTGTCCTTAAAAGTTTTCATGGCACCGTTTTTTTTTCTAAATCGCGCCCACAGACATGATTGCGTCAATGTGTGTGTGTATGCATGTGAGACCACAGGGATGTGGGTTGGGCTCAAGGTACCTGTCGCGGTTATTATGGGCGCGTCTGGCTGTCTCTCGCCTTACTTTCACAGGCATTTACGACAGTGACACAATGTAAAAGCTCCCCTTGAGGTATTTGCATCAAATGGGAGGCCACCGGCTGGAATCAAGGCCGAATTAGCATATTCCGCGACATATTATTCCAATCTTGTTTTGCATTTTGAATGATTTTGCATTTTTGCATTTCTGCTTAACCCAACAGCGCAAAGCAAAATGAATGGCTGTTGAGCAGTGGCAAGATTGAAAAAAAAGTTTCAATTTGAAAACTTGGGAGTAGGGACAAGAGACATGTTATCAACTTGAAGCATAAAAGTGATTCTCCTTATTGCAAACAACTGCCTATAAAGTGTCGATAGACATTTCGTTTTGTCTTACTTTGGAACCTTCTTTTCCCAGTGCGGTGGCCAGAAAATTTTCTAGTAGTAAATTCTTTATGGGGATGATTATGCCTTACCTCCACAACTGTGATGCCTCCTCCAATGCGCTGCCAGACTTCTTACATCGATGACAGGCACGTTCAGCTCGGTTCTCGGGGTTGACAGCACCAACTTTTGAATGTTTATTGAGGGATTGCAAAATTTTACCAAAAGGAAATATTTATTTTACTTGCGTACATAGGTCGAATTTCTCCCCCTCCTTTCCTATAACCAAAAGCCAAGGTTTACTCAAATTTTAAGGATATCCAAGGCCCTGAGTTAATGTTATGAACACCATTAAAATTTGTAATTCCCGAAATTCAGCAATGAGGAATCCAGTGTTTCTGCACGAAAAGGTTCTCATTAAATGGGGTGAAGCTCTCAAGGTTTAATTTGGTCAAGTTATTAAATTCAGTGCTTTTGAGATGGAACTGGAGGATTTTACAGCACTTCTGTTACTTTCTGGAATGTTCTGATTTCGGAAAGTATATTCACTCGGATATCCATTCCTAGCTTAGCGTCGCATATGTGTATTGCCCCAATTTTCCCATCTGGGCCTGACGTCACAAGTATGTGACGCTCGTTCGTTGTCGATTTGTAATAAATTTTTGCAGTAAATTATGTTGCAAACCTATCGAATAAGTTTTAAGCAACTGTTTTAATTGCGGTTATTAGTCTTTGGAACTATTATCGGTACACCCGACAGAAAATAAGCGTCGGTTGGTTCCATGGTAGAGCACCTAATACATATAGGCGGTGGCGGTCACTTTTCCTGGGGTAGCGAATGCAGCAAGGAATTTGGATGCAGCAAAATCCAAAATACCTTCAACCGCTACCTTTGTTGATGAAATATGCAACTCGACCAGCAGATTTATAGTGCGGATTCCGTGTATCCGAAGTTTTAATGGACAGTTAAAAGAAAACTGTTTCTTGATCATAAAAGTGAGGCTCAAATTACTTTGTTCAAAAGTGGAGGCCTAAGTAAGTGCCACTGAAAGCATTGAACATGTTTTTTGAAAGATTGTGCCTGTAACTAATGGTCGAGTATGTTTGGGGCTAGGTTTAAACTCGTGGTTACTTTGGAGTGAAAGTGTTAATTCCATTTACGTCTTTAGGCACTCCGAGTCAAGATCGCTAAGTTGTTTTAGCTGCGGAAGATTTTCGAATCCAGTGCAATCTTATGTGTGTGATCTATGCAAGCATTCACTGTGCCATATCACTTTCTTCGTCAACAGGCCAACTCAAAATCGGGTAACTTTATCGACGTGGAAGCAGTCATGAATGTGTGGATCAGGCAGCCTGGCTACCCTCTGGTCTCGGTGAAACGACTCGGTGGCAATCGGTTTGAGCTCTCTCAGGAGCGCTTTTTGTTGGGCATGCATCCAGCGAATGCCTCCGTGAACATTAACGTCACCAATAAGTCAGTTGTTTTTACTTTATCCTGCCACCATGGAAGTCATTAATGTTAAACTAATTTGCATGACTACTCCCTTCTCTTCCGCGAGATGAATTCGCTCCAGTCAGACAATGGCGCCTAATCCACTCACAGTAGTCACGCATAGCACCACTTTTTTCCATTCAAAATGTTCTGCTGACAGTTAGGTTAGAGACCGCTGATGCCATTGATAGACACTTTACCCTGGCTCAAAATGATAATCCGTCCCCTCAGTGTCAAATTCACTTTTAATAGGTATGAAAGTCATTTATTTACCTTTTTTAACAGACTCTGGAGCATTCCAATTACCTATGCAACGAAATCGGAAAATATAACTGAAGCCGAAAACCGAATCCTTTGGATGAATGGCAGTAAGTTGGCCAAATTTTTCCACGTTTTGGTGTTTGGACATCGGAAGTCAGACATGCATCACCTTAGTTCTCTACATCATGCGTCTTTCGGTGAAGGAGGAGGTATTGACGTCGCTCTGTTTCGCTATCTTGAAATAATTTTTCATCTCACATCGGATACGAAGTAGACGGGTAATAGCGAAGGATTTTGTAAGCTCTCTTTTTAGGCTCTCGATCTTTTAGGTGCCATCTGATAGTAGGAAGTCCTCAGTCCGAATAGGACTCTAATTTACTTCTTTTAATTCAAAATTATACTTCACCACTTCATGCTATAAGAAACCCATTCCTAATTTCGCCTTTGAAATAACCACTGGTAAATCTTGGTGATACGGGATTGCTTCATGCCCTGTTGCCATTTTCGAACTTGCTGATAGTTCAGGGAATCACCTAACACATGAGGTCGACCTGAAGCTTTCGAGTAGGCATGATGTCATTCGGATGTTTTGCTGACCTCTGTGGATCTACCTTTCCCTGGATCACTTATTTGACACGCACACAAACACACTTGCACAACCCAGCAATAAGAAGGGGGATATATCAAGTGGTATCTTTAACATCTCCTCATTTGTGCCCTTATCTAAACAAACAACGAGTCGGACATTATGAGGCTGCACTTTTTAAGGTTTAAATGGGCGTTTTCCTTAACCCATCTGATAATAACACGTGCTGAATAGTAAAACATGCCACTTATCGCTTAAATTTAATACCACAAAACCGTCGGATCTTCTTTATTATACCTTTTAATCAATTATTTTACCTCGACTTCCTTCTAGAAAATCTGATCCTTGAAATGGACGTTTCTGGAGGTCAGTGGTACGCTCTGAATCTTCGTCAAATGGGATTTTATCGGGTAAACTATGACATGGAGAATTGGCATTTGGTGACCAAGGCTCTCTGCACCAACCACGCGGTAGGGTTTCTCACTGGTTTCAACAAATCCAACTGTTGCGTGTTGATCTTTCCGATTGCACATTAAAGTTTGTTGTGTACTTCAGGAACTACCGCGTCTGATGCGTGCCCAACTGATTGACGATAGTTTCCACATCGCCAAGTGAGTTATTATCGGCACCTTGGTTGGATTAACTTGGTCTATTTGTTGCCAGGTCGTGCGATGCTCATCAATATCCGTTGCAAGAGATCGTGTTGAAGTATAATGCCTCTTTTGCATTTCTAGCCATGGCGCTCTGTCGTTCGAGGTGTTCTTGAACCTGACCCGCTACCTGCGCATGGAGCGCGAGTACGTGCCATTGAACGCGATGCATCGGGCCTTCAACTACCTCTACGACGTGCTCGCCATGCACGACAGCCATTCGCTGTTGAAGCGCTACGTGCGCATCCTCATCTCCGACGCCTACAAGGATATCAATTGGAACGCTGCTAAATCAGACGAGAACCACCTCAATAAGTACGCATTGCTATCTCACTTCCCACCTATTTGGTGTGTATCCAGCGGTGTTCAGTTTTCAATTCGGTGTTTGTGATTTAGGCAGCAAAGTGCCTCATTTTAGGGAGCATCGCATCATCACTGCGTTGATTTGTAGAATTTGGGGTTGCTATTGTAGCAGCTCAATCTCTTGCGCGATTAGAAACTCCAGGAGGGAGGAAGTAAAAGGAGGGCTGAAGTTTTTTATATGAGTTAGGGAATTCAGCTGAAGTTTGCTTGGTTCTCAATGCATATTTCATATAGTCGGAGCAACAAATGCGCACTTGAAATTCATGGCAAAGCCATGGAAGTAAAGGAATTTAAAGTACACCATTCCACGTATTTATGATGCTCGAAGGCAGACGTAATAAAGTCGCGATGCCTAATGGCTACCCCCGTGTTCGCTGTACACACCATTAAAGCGTTTTCGACAGCAACGCTCTTACCTCGTGTGACTGCGTATTTCAAATTAACTTGAGTGGCGTAAACTGCTTTCTGCTGCTTCAAAAAGTTTAGTTTTGATGGAAATAGGCATCAAGCTCGGAGCACATTATTGTTTATGCTCTCCGGAGTCAATCACCACTTTACCTTTACAGCATGGCTCGGCAAATCATTGTGTCGATGTCCTGTGGGGCTGACCACAGCGATTGTGTGAAGAGGTCGAAGATGCTCTTCGATGAATTCATGCAAGATCCGTCGAGCCACAAGTGAGTCCCATTTCAGTGTGTATCCACGCACGCATAAACTAATAGAATTATTGACAGTCATTGGAAAGAGAACTGAACCAATTTCCGGGATTTCAGACACCTTTTTCTGATAGCGTTCTCTGCTGCTATGTTAGTCCACTTAGTCCAGTGTTTAGTTAACACCATTAAAGCTTCTGCACAGACGGATTAGTCAATACAGCTCGACAAACTGCTTAACTTCATCACCGACACCCAACGCGACGGTTTATGATCCGATTAGGCGTCGACGGTGAGGACAAAGGCGGGGAGGCACTGGCCGAAAGTTCGTCCATAGGAATTAATAATGAGGAAATGAAGCCACCATAACCGGAATCGTTACTCGTAGACGCAGAGGCGCCTTTTCAATGTTGACGGAATTCCATTGCGTTGCTCCTGATCTGCTGAGCGTCCCATTACCGCGTAGTAGTGCTTCCTTACGCGGAAATATTCACAGGCATTAGTTGTACTCCTTGGTCGACATCCCTCATCTACCTCATGCTGTTGCACTTTTATTGTGGCGCTGTTGTCTGACCCTTTGATTGTGGGTGTCTGCGTTTGCGCTGGAATGATCCACGACTTTTGCGTCGGCCATTATTGGCCACCGTTGCGTGTGGCGGCTACAACGGTGGAATTCCCTTCTTGCAGATTTGGAACTAAGAGTCCCGGTTAGACATTAAGGTCTTTGTACTTTATGATGAAGTGGGCCATTGGTTGTCGTTGTTTCGAACTTAATGACCTTTTTTATTGACAATTAGTGCGCTGCCTTATCTTCACTAGAAGAAGCCATCCAAAATGTGATCAATTTCCCCGAAAACACTGAATTTTACGTTTCTTTTATTTTATTAGAATACCAACGAGTCTGACTCCTACGGTGTACTGCACGGCAATTCGCGAAGGCGGTGTGAAGGAGTGGGACTTCTTGAAGCAGTTGAGTATGAGGGTCCTACATGAAGATGAAAAGTACCGCATTCTGGAGGCTCTGGGGTGCACACGTGACTTCGTTCGTCTGAGAACGTGAGCTAGGATACTAGTCGTACAAATATTGTAGCCTTATTTCCATTCCGTTTTAATAGTTGCCTCACCCTTGTTGCCTTCTCCCTCTTGAAAGGTATATTCGGGAACTGATTGACGATGCCATCTCTAAGAGCGATGACTTGGAACTTCCTGCGTCTCTTAGTGGAAATCCAATCGGGCTTTATGTAATTTACGACACAATTAAACGGGAATGGCCTAACAGAAATCGTGGGTAGGCGAAAATTTTCCTCTTTCAGCATATTTCCATCTGCATTGCTACGTTGTATTACTTTGTTCTACAAAGTAGAGTAAGCATAAAGGATGAAAATTTCTCATTAGTATCAATTATTGGTATCAAAGGTTTAGAGAGGTTGCTATTTTTCGGAAGTAGCCGTTAATATCTAAAGTAGATGAGTGATTGAGTTCTCTAAAGAACTTTTCATATGCAATCAGATTGCCATCAATGCTAGATAGCACTATTTTCATTAATTTAAACAACCAGATTCTAATTTTCATTTCGTTTTATCGGCTTGTCTTTACTAACTTAGCACAAATTCTCCATTCAAATTGATCCTAAAAGCTGTGGAAAAGCGGGGCATTATCATCGAAACGCTACCAATTCAAGACGAGGTATGCTTTGTTTACTGGAGTCCGCTTTTGCATCACTTAATCCACCCAGTGAATGCATAGATCGTCGTGGGTGAATCGGAGGCTTTGAAAGTGCCAGAATACGCAGGGATACAAATGTCACCTTACTACTTTGATTGTAAAGGTTTCTGATTCATGTTGAATACTCGGTTCACCAAAACACTGGTGCTTGGGCAGGCTACCAATTTCTGCTCCACCTATACATGGGCCCATGCCATAGCTCAATCTTGCATTAGGTACTATAAATTACTGCATCTGAGGGTGGCTTTTCTGCTTAATAGACAAATATAACATTAAAGTGATGATCCGTTCACTGGTCTGTTTTCTGTAGTTAATGAGAATGAATGCAACACTGCATGCAGAGGCAGATCCGCAGACGGGGCGTTGGATCCACCGAATCCTCACGCAGTCAAAGCGGGACTACAATTGGTTAAAAAGATATGCCAGCACCATCCACTCCTGGCTTAAGCACGAAGTGGAATCCCTCCAAGCATCAAGCGGTGAATACGATTCCACAACTGTCAACCCATTCCACGCGGACACCGAAACGACTCAGTAGTGAAAAAAAGAAGTTGCTCCCCCGTCCCCCTCCTCATCCGTCCCCTTGCCTGTTTTTTCGTCTCCTCGTACTCCCTTCCCACACCCATCTTTAGTACCACTCTGGAAGACTCTGCTGTCTCTGTCTCTCTCGGATCCCTCGGTTACCCGCAAAACACCTGCCTTCCTATTCCGAAACTAACTCAATCCGGCCTAAAACAAGCCATCTTTCTCTCGTGTGTTATTCTAATTGAATGTTCCTTCCCTAAGTATGTACGCTAGCCATCAACCAAATAGTTTTGCGTAAAGTATTGCAAACCTTGAATACGTTGTGCTTAACCTTCAGGTGTTTTTCTGAGTCAAATACAAAGACTAGAGAATTTGTGTGTTTTAATTCGCGAAATCCACTTACTATGACTGAGAAACAGACGCCTCCAAAATTGCTTTTCCTGTGCGTAATGATAGACATGTCAGGAGTCCTCCGAAAAATTCCAACTTTTTAAAGGCAACGATTTTTGCGAAATCACTAAAATGCTGAGTGGAGTGTTAAAAAAACGAAATGCCTAAGATCCTCAAACACTTAGTTCCTTGCGTTGACCAAGTTTTTTGGAGCAGATGGTAGCAGATATAAAAGTTAAGCGTATTTTTTGTACTTCTGCCTACTTAGCCTTTGCACCTACCCCTACTACTAATCTCATGCTGAAAACACATTCCCCAGGTCTGCAAGGTAGCGTGCTTTTCCGTGACCGAGTTGATAGTCTGACGACCTCCGACTTCGCAAACCATCCCTTCTCCAGGAATACCTAAAAAGTCGACACTTATCTAAATTCCTCTTGACAATAGTGAGAGTTATTTGTTTTACAATAGATCTTGCTCTCCTTTTAGAGGTATGGTTGGCTTGCACTACGCTATTTTTTGCACTATTCTGAGAAGGCGCGTAAAACCACCCACCATCGTCTTCTTTACGTGCGTAGCAGAACTCACATAAACAGCTTATATCTCCAGGAATTGCGCACACTTGCCGCAGATTTTTCCATGACTATGCTAATATATGGTATGCGCATAACAATGGGTGAACTGTAAATGTCTGAACGAGCTGTTGTTATTCAACCTCATTTGATATGATTTTGAATAAAATCCGTGTCTCATGCAAAATTGCAAACAGCTAAGCGTATTGAGGTGACTTATCAATTTCCTACCTAATTACTCGAGCTATTCAATATCCGGCGGTTCCATCATCTTTTCGCCATGGTCCTCCGTTCAGGCTCACGGCCTCTCAGCCCCTCAATATGCCTCATCTAGAGGCATTCTCTCACATTTTAGAGTTATGGGATGTGATGCTAAACAGTGCGCAAAGAGTTTAGTTGCGATTGTTAAAAATGGGCAAATGGATGCATCTGGGTGGGAGGCTGCAAGAAGGATCATTAAAGTTCAGGACTCGAAGACTGGTTGCGATGCAAATGTCTGAGCATTCAAATCAAAAGTTGTCAAAGATGAGTTAGCTAGTCACTTCAATGACGTTACATAAGTGTTAGCTTACAAATTCACATTATACATACCTGATTCTGCAACCGTATTTGTGACTGAAAGTATTGAGATAAGATGCTATTAAATGATTGTATAAACTCACAATTTTCCCATAATCACGTGACTCACAAACTCACAGACCTCATAATGCATGGCGGTGCTGAGGGTTTGCTTCAGTTGCACGATCAAAATCATTAACGGCATCCCCAAAATATCGTGGATATTGGGAAAGCAAAGAAATATTGCATTCATTAAAATACCCAGGCGCAGTAGTAGTCCAAATTTCAAATTCCTTTTGGTACTACGTATGCATGGCTTGATCAAGACTTATGGCTCTTCGTGAAAAGAATGTTTCGTGTTCCACATGGAAAACTAAACTATCCGTAAAGAGGAATACGTTCTGTACATTATCTGCCTCACTTGGAGAGGTAATTCGCTTGAGGTTTTCGCAAACGACTGCAAAGTTTCCTAAGTAAAAACATTTTTTCATTTGTTATTTCGACAGAACACCATAGCCTCCGCCCCCTAATGATGTGGATGATGTGACTAATTAATTGGCCACCTTGGTTTCCATCTTAGTTATCGTCCCCGAACCTTCTTACTTACAATGAAGCGGACGTCTAGGGTTGGTGCTTGTGTTACTGTTATGTTTCTAGGGTTCTCCCTGTGGTTTTTTGATGCCCTCAAGGAGCTCGGAAAGTGCAAGGGACTGTCGAAAGCGAAAAGCTTTGCGTATCCAGTATCTAGCAGAGAGTGTGCGTTTACGAGAACTTACTGTTCTTAAAATGAGGCAGGATGTCGAGAGGGTATGTTACCTGGGAATAATCTACGGTATTTAGTTATTAGAGGTATGTCATGAAATCGACAATGGTGAGTTTCCTCAGAGTGTTGTGGCTGATCTTGGCATTCTCTACGAGTGATGGAGTTTCTCTTATGGCGCGTAATTCTGCTTCAAAAATCTATTGACTTGCATTTCCTGTATCTTCTACTTATGTATCGTTTAAATTATGTGTGTACAATCGAGTGTCACTTGCATTTTACGTAATCATCCCTTTTTCTACATGTATTTATTGACTTGTTGTTTCTGTTATAACACTTCTTTGTTCACCCTTATTTCGTTTTCGTGGTCATTTTTTGCCACTAGCAGAACTATTTTGGATACAATCTTTGAGCTGGTGAAGTTCAGTAAGTTATTTTGAATGCTTATTAGGCTTAAGTGCAGCTTCAAGGTGTGTCGTTACGTATATATTGTCTACCTTCATAATACTTATGTTTTTTGACTATTTTGAGAGAAATAGTATTAGAAATAAGAATCGCATTTTCAACATCGTAATGTGGTGGCTTTCGTTCAATCCGCATATATTTTGTATTTGAATATAACCTTGGTTATTTTCCCTATCCAAATGTATTTCCATTCGCCGCGCAAATAACTTCAGCTTGCCAATGTCAATGGTTTCTTTTGCTAAATGTTCGACTGTCATACTCTGCTAGATTGTGATTCCATAGAGGGATGATGAAATGTTTTTTTTTGCGCGTGTGGGCTCTTATCTGGCAAGGGTCTAGCGGAGGAGGGTTGCTCTTACAGCTGGTATGGTTCATTAGAGAGTTTGTGACACTTAGGTTACCTAGACATCTTGCTAGTGTGTTGCGGTTTCATCACTGACTAATTTGGTGAGTTGGTTTGAAAATAGTTGAAGTAAGCAAGGTTGTCGGTGGCTCCTGACACCACGTTTTGCTTTTAGGGCATAGTGATTCGTCTTATTAATAGGCATGGAGTGCAATGTTGGTAATGGAGGGCAATATTTACTTTGCATAGGATGTGATCCTCTATTTCAGGCGGCTTGAACTAGCCCCTAGAACATGAACGTGATTTGTATCTTAAATAGGGCCTTCGGGAACACAAAGGCATCCCCTATCCTTTGCACGAAGTCTTATAGGTAGTTAAGTATTCACTATTGCTTTCCTATGTTCCGCCTTGAAGAAGTGTGCTCTGCCATTTCCATAACTAGATTGAAATGCCTGAAACTTTATGTCAATTACAGGCAATGAGGCGGTCATTATTCTACCGGCGAAAATGCGTAAAAGTCAGGTCACGGTTATTGATGAGAGCGCACTTAAACTGCCGAATATGCAATGAGTGCAGCAGTCGAATGGTTTTTTGACTATAAATAAAAAAGGAGTTTTATGGGAGCAAAAAGTCAACCGGTGATTTACGGGTTTTGTGACTTTGAGCACGAGAGATATGGATGATGAATATGTGGACTTTATTGCAAGAGTGGACGATTCTCTGGAAACAGAATTGTTTATTAGGCGTACTTTTGTATCTCGAAGTTAGCCTTCGTAAAATACATGTTTTCTGATGATTATCTGCAACAGAAGGCATCGCTACCATGTCGCTGCATAAGAGAAATGCTGTGGCTTGCACGCAGCTCTTTTAGTACCCTTTAATCAATTTTTCTCCCAAAAAGACTAAAATAAAACGAGTAATTTGACCAGTCATCGCTAAGTCGGAAAGATGGTGGGCGTATTTCACCTTAGGGTTTAAGGAGTTTTCATCTGCTGATCGCTTTCAACATCGTGGCGAATTAAATTCTCGGAGGTGTTTTAGGGTAAGGCTTGGTGGGAGTTCGTGCGGAATTTTAAACAATGCTCCGCCTCATTTTGTGGTTACATCAACCCAATCAAATGAATAACCTTCCTCGCCATTGTTGAATCGCAGTGTCTTATTTCTTTCCTTGATGAATTTCAAAAGATCATTTTGGATCAAACCTTCAAATACCTTTTTAGCAACTGATTTCACATAATGTCCTCCGAATTCCCTCCAAGAATGGAGCAGGGGGGACCCGGGGCCCGCATAGGTGTATACCGTATGTGAGTTAAAATGTATGCATAATGCATCCTGATTGAGAAAGATGAGAGGCTGAAGGCTTCTTTTTCACAATTGCTTCCTCCAGTCTGTTGCCTAGTTATGCGAGAAACCCCGCATTTAAGTACTCCTAATGTGTAACCATGTGCAGACTGGACACTTTTCGTCACATCTCAGCTCACTAGTTGTCCTGTGACCCCGGAACTGATCAGGAGCAAGGCTATAAAATAAAAGCATGACCGCGTACAAGGAGAACTTTCGAATTTACTATAAATTGGCTTATAAATCAAGGAAGTTAACGCCACAGGTGGTCAACGAGGAAATTAAAATGTATTAAAGCAAGAGAGCGCCTTACATTTCTGATGAATTATCTTCAATTTGCCTACAAAACTTGACGGAATTGGAAGCTATTGTAGTACCTTGATTATTTGGTTAATATTATATCCTATTTGGGGGGCCTAGCCTTCGGGCTATGCTAGTAGCCTCCGAGCCCTTCTGCAAGTCAAGAACATATATTCTGCTCGAGTATTATGTCGGCTTCGGCCTTCAGGGGAGTCTCGGGGTGGAAAACGTACCCGGCCGTTAAGGACAGATATCCGGAGTTCTACGTTAGCGTGGCGGAAGAAGGGCCGAAGATGGCGTCCAACTTCGGCAATATACCCCAGTTCCGCCTTACACAGGAATGCCATTAACAATTGAAGCAGTTTTGGCTATAAACCACTTGGAAAAATTCCTTTCAGAGCTATCCATCATGCTCACTTCGTTTGTCCTATCCTAAGTTCTCTTTCCTTTGCTTTAGAACCTATCCCCTGAAATGGTTGATGCTCTTCAAGAAATGATTGCACAATCTTGCTTTACAAGGACAGTTTTCCATGGTGTTGTATTCAAAATTTTGGAGAATGTCCCAAAGAATTGGCACACGAAACATTTTTAATACAAAACATAGCTTGAACTAGATTACTGCAGAACAGGTGAACTCCTGTAATGCAGAACACAAAGGGAGTATGGGGGGTTAGCCCCCCCCCTGCTTTATGGTGGACAGAAGAGTAAAAAGCCACCATAGAGAACGTCAATGCGGATGCTTTGGATCAGATATTGGGAAAAGGTCCACATGAAAGAATTATATTTGCCATAATTGCCAACCTAAGAAGGCCGACTTTTATACTGTCTTGCATCCCGATTCTTAAAACGCGGAAAGTCTGCAGACTCATTTGAATTTTAAAAACCGTCTGCATTTTACAGGGAATGATACGTGAGGCGAGGAGGCACTTTTGACTTGGTCTCTGTACCACGCCGGGTGGGCTGGCCTTCGGGCCTTGCCAGTAGCCCATATTGTAATACGATAGTGGTTTATGCCTCAGTTCTGGTGAGGCGCTACTCTTGTACTTTGAATTAGCCCCCTTGTACCTCGCTGGGTGGGCTGGCCTTTTGGGCCATGCCAATAGCCCAGACACCTTCTCCGTGCTGAATATATGTATTCTGCCCGAGTATTGTGTCTTCTTTCGTCCTCAGGAGTCTCGGGACGCTACACTGCTGGCAGCGGAAAGCCAACCCGATCTTAAAGGACATGTATCCTGATTTTCCATTTCTGCGTGATAAGCCTTAGTGGGACGGAAGAAGTACATATGCTACGGATGGGAGAATGGTGATGACCCCTAATAAAAGGGTTGATGTTGACGTCTACCTTCGGCATCTCTCCCAGTCCCGTGTTCTGCAGAAAAGCTATTAACAACTGAAGCGACACTAGCCGTAAACCATCTGGAAATTTTCTTACAGACTTTCCTTACCGTCCCCCATAGACATGTTTTAAATTCCGTCCTTCCTTACACAAATCGACTTTTGGGCCGGTGTTCCTGCGTCTATCTATGAACACGCATGATGGCCGGCGCAGTTCCCCGTCCTGAATCAAATCCCTAAACCGGACGAAACCCCAGATCCAGTTAAGCTACCAAGAGGGATCAGTGACGTTGAGGTCAAGCATCCCCTCAGTTGCGCACTAATTTGGTGACTGGCACGGTCGGCTCGTGGGTGTTTCTTTACAACACCGACTACGTTGTAATGGCTGACGCGTATGGTTGACTTCCGGGAGAGCCGAGGGCGACGCTCAAAAGAGGAGGGGGGCTATGTAATACAAGGGTGGTTTATCCCTCGGTACTGGTGAGGCGCCACATTTGTAATTTGAATTAGCCCCCTTGTACCTCGCTGGGTGGGCTGGCCTTTCAGGCCATGCCAGTACCCCAAGTGCCTTCTCTATGCTGAATATATATATTCTACCTGAGTATTGTGTCTTCTTTCGTCTTCAGGAAGTCCCGGGACGCTACAATATACCTTCTCTGTGCTGAGTACCTATGATCCGCCCAAGTGTTATGTCCACTTTTGCCTTCAGGGAAGTTTCTAGACTCTTCACAACAACCAGGGACCTCTAAAACTTTTAGGCTATGAGACATAAAAATGATTTTTCGAGTTTTCGACATTTTTTGTCAGGAATTAAGCAATTCGGCTATCTGTGACTGCAGGAATTGTCTGAATAGAATTGGTTCTATCTGAATGAAAGCAAATAAAAAATTTGCACAGAAAATCACTATCGGTTTCAAAGTTATGGATCCTGTTTTTACTAAAATACGCACATCTCTAGCCTGGAATTCTCAAGCTTTAATTTTCAAATTTTTAATTTTAAGAGCAAACAACTTAAAAGTGCACACCCTTTTGAATCCACAGGGCATAAAATTATGCCCAATACCGAAATTCAGTATTTTTGAATAAATACTTTTAGCATTAAAATCATTTGTTTTATTTGATTCAGCTACAAGTTACGAACTCAAGTCCCCCGTAATCATAGCAAAATGCATAGGGTATTCGGTAGGCCATCGAATTCGACCAAGGCACCGCCAAGCCTCACAGATGCCGCTGCTAACGTATTATTGTTCAATATTCTTATACGCTTGTCTAGATTGACTCCCGTATAGAAACGCTCGATAAATCAATTGGTCTTAAACGGGGCGAGATTGCGAAACTCCAGTCGCAAATGCGGGGAATGCGTGAAGGACCTGCAAAGAATTCACTTAAAAGACAAGCCTTGACTAAACTAAAACAAATGAAGGCTTTAGAGGCTCAAAGGGAGACTCTGTCCAACCAAAGCTTCAACATGGGTCAGGCCAGTTTCGCTCTACAGAATGTAAAGGACACCCAAACGACTGTCAAGGCAATGAAACATGGAGTTAAAGAATTTAAGAAGGAAGCTAAAAACATGAAGTTAGATGACATCGAGGTAGCAGCTTTGCCGTTACATTCTTTGACAATATTTCCGACACTTGATTTGTTCTTCGTACTCTTATTAGGATCTACAAGACGATCTCGCTGACATGCTTGAGCTTAATGATGAATTTGGAGAAGCTCTTGGTCGCTCAGTCATGCCGACTACTATCGACGAATCAGAGTTGGATGCTGAGCTGGAGGCCCTTGGTGCTGAAGCCGATCTGGAAGGTTTTCTCGATGCTGACACGGCACCCTCCGTTCCCAGTGCAGACATTGGTTCCTCTATCTCCGTTCCAAACGCTCCGAACGCTGCGGCTAGTGTAGGTTGACCTCACTAAATTGTGACGCTCTAAACCACCATGAGAGTTTGGGCCACTCTTCTTCTGATCTACCCGTACATTAACAGATATTTTGTTGGGGTTAATGACCCTATTTTGCTGCCTATTTTGCGCAAAAGCTGGTCTACCAAACCCACTCACCGGTGCTTCTATTAAGTCACGTCGCGTGACGAAAGAACCACTTAAAACATTTTACTGACGCATCGCTAGACTGTTGCAGATATTGCGTGGGCGTCACCAACTCGCTCTGTCACAATTGCACCTGCCTTGCACACATTGTGAAGTTCTGCTTTCAACTGAGGGTTCAATGCTATCTTAGTCCCAGCAACTTAAAAATAGCTCAGTAGCTGACCTACTTATGGATTAGTGGCAGCCAGCCGTAAGAGACATTCACATTACTGTTTGTAGATTAACAGTTATGATTACGCGCTCAAACCACTCAAATTGCATGCCATACACTCGCCTCTTTTTTCCATTTTGCAGGGTAATGTTCCTTTGGATGAATTTGGGCTCCCCCAAATTTAAAACCCTTTCTTGAGCCACCCAATGCTGATGACCGGTTTTCTACTTGGCACTAACTGATCTCCTTTATTATTCATAAACCCCTACTCTGCGCCTTATAAAAGAAATAATTTTCGCCAAATCTTCTGAAGTGGAAGTATAGTTAACCCTATGTGGTTGTTACTAGACGCGTCCAACTGCTCACCCCCATTCTGGATACCAGCGCTACTTTAAATGCCGGAGGAGATTGGTAGCCCCGCCACCGATTAGTGGTTTTGCGCGAGGCAATCACGCACGAGATGACAAAGGTTTTTATTCCATCAAAGGGGTGTGAAGCTCTGGCGCTATTTCTGTCGATGGGTGCCTACTTAAGCCCATGCACCCCGACACCCCACGGGAGTTAGGACGGAGCTAGAGCACGATGTCAGGAAATTAGTGTATTTAGAGGACTCGAAAGTTACAGAATTGGACGGTAGGTGCTGAAAAACTACTCAGATTTGTGGTCGCCAAAGCCCCAGTACTGCTTCATGGCGGCGAAGAAGGGCGTTTTACCATCGCCCCACGGGAAAGGCTACATTAAGTGGAATTACAGCTGAAGAAGCTAATACCTTTAAATCCCGGGGGAACGGCCTGTAAAACGGCTTGCCAAATTCCGCCTCTTTCTTAAGACGCTTGGCTCTCGCACGTTTCATAAAACCAACCGACCATGCACAGGCAGGAAATACAGCAAAACTTACTATGGTCCAGAACACTTTTTGCTCTAGAAGTACTTAGGAATTATGCCTGGGACGCACTGGTGCTGATTACTTCATGCTTATGGAATTGGAGGGCATACGAACGTTGTGCCTGTCGCGCTACAGGCCGAAACCTAAACATTCCGCTAGAGGACCCTGGCAGTCAGAAACAGCGGGACCCGCCATAGGTTAAAACAAGCTAGTGTCGAAAAACGGAACGTCAGGTAGGTACCAATGATCAAACCTGTAGCAACCTTAAAAAAACTTAAAAATTGAATTAGAAGCAAGTGCAGTAGTATGCTATTCAAATTTTGCAAGCATAAACCTGCGTAAACGTCTTGCACTTCTAATTTGACTTAAAGTTTACTATCTGTTAGAGAGTGTAGGGTCAATAAAATCCCTCCACAACTTTTGAAGAACTTTGATCAATATTCAACGAGACAAAATTGACGTAAATAAAAATTTTCTGAGTTTATTAAACTCCTTTTTTCTTCTGAATATTATCTTGGAACCAAAGCAAATGGTAAAAGCAATTGACTTACAGTGCTCACATGATGTGAAATTCGTGCTAGCCTTTAGTACGGCACCCAAGGACTACCCTGACAACAAAAGAAGACAAAAAAACCTGCTAAATACGTATATTTCACATGCAGGAGTTAAGTCTGCAAAAATAGCCCGAAGACCAGCCCACCCAATAAGAATGCAATGGGAAAGACCCAAAAAGACACTATACCAAGGCCAAGAGTTAAGAAAATAACCCCTGTATTGCATTTAGCACAATCTCCTAAAAGACTCGCTATATGACACAATTTGTCCTTCGAAAAGCTCTGTAGTTAGGAAATCCAACCTGCAATAGTTAGCACCTATTCCAAGATTCAAGTTCATCGCATACTTCATGGTCTTGGTTCATTGTTAAAAGGAATTAACGCATAGAGCCGGTTAATCCTAGATTAACGGGACTCAAGGCGGTAAAAGAGCTGCATGGGAGTTTGAAATCGTTCCTGTAGCTTTACCCACTTGCGCTGTTATTTAGCTACAAAATGGAACTGTCTGACTATTTCCATAGGTTCTATTCGCTAATACCCAAATTTTAATACACGTGGAACTAGTTACTGTTTGTGGTAATACTTGAGGCGCTGCAGCTGGGCTCTTTTTAAGACATTTAACTTTGCTACCTTTTATTAGTGGACTAAAAAGGGTCCTCTTACAAATACTCACATTACTTTTTCTGATTTGTACCACCCAAAAATCGTGCGGTCTTGTAAAGGACTGAAAAATTATTTGCTTTTCGAAAATTTATTGCGTTTGCTTTAATTTGTCTGCCCTGCCATTCTAGTTGCAACTGTTTTTTTTGTTTACTAATTCCATTACACCTTTTTTTACGCTCACTTGAAATGCGCTAGTTTAGCACTGGTCACATGTCGTTGCTTTTATTTCGCCGTGTGTGCGATGCCAAGGCCAGAGCCTGTACCTTTCATTAATTATTCTGCTCAGAATTCACGTGGATCCTCTATCAGAAATATCGATGAGCTCAACGATGCAGTTAGGAGCACTATTGAACTTTTGGTATCCTCTAAAATGTATACGGGAGTGGGTCAGATTCAGAGTACACTTTTTAGAGTAGGGAATTTGTTAACCTCTGATTTCTTGTAAAGGAATATCCGGACGCATTGTCATTCGTTCAGAATAATCGTTTGCATCCTAATGGGATTCCAGCGATCCTTAATCATCAACAATTAATACAACATGTCAATGCTATCGCATGGGGATACGCCGTCGTCAATCCAATAGTGACACTGGAAGACTTGAATAAATTGTTAAAGGTGTTTTTTCTTCTTCATTTTACTTTGTTAGTTGGAGATTCGAGGTCTGATCAGGAATATGGGCCCTATCTATAATCTTCCGGTTGCCTTGGAACTCTGTGGTGTTTATGAGTTTCATCGATCTGTGAAGAATGCTTTTGTATTGGAGGATGAAGCAAGTGTGTTCAGACCTTCGACGCAGGTTATTCTGGATGAGCTCAATGCTTGCATTTGCAAGAAGCGGCATCAAGCGCCAACTACCAGCCTTCGTTCTTTGTATCGGTGGTGGGAAGCAGTCTTCACTCGACACATGCTTATCTATTTCAGTGATCCTTGCGTGTCGAATGATGAAGAAAACTTCAACTCTTGTGATTTTCACTTTTCTCTACTGGGTCCCTATGGAATCAGGATCAAAGGGTTCTCGAAATTAATTGAGGTATTTAAGAGTCACCTTTCGTAATAACGCAATTTATTTACCTCTGAAGGTTTAGGCAACCTTATAAAATTTGTAAAGCAGTCGTTCATGATGTTTTTGTTTAATTTTTCCGTTGGGACAACTTATTTGTTTTCAAATATGCAACTAAAATGGTTTGATTTTAGTCTGTAATTAAGGCATTGTGTCCAAACGGCCTTTTAAAAGCCTCAAGAAATGCTGAATTAATGATGGAACGCAGTATAAAGGCGATTTATCAGAAGTTTACGGACAACGTCATCAGTAACCGTGCTATTGGTAAGCTGTGATGCTCTTCTTGGTTTTATTTCATTTCAATATAATATCTGAGCAATCTCTTCATATTAAGTATGTAGATAACTTTAGGTAAAAATTTTTTAATTTAATTGATTGTGAATAAACAGCATGCTTTTGTCTTCCCAAGGAAATTATATCTGGTTACGTATGTCGTTCGAACTTCAGGAGTGTGATTAATTAGCAATGATAAAGCGGCTTGCCTTGTTCAATGGGATTCTTATTGGCCAGGCATCGGAAATAATAACTGCGGTCTTCTTGCTTTTAAGCTGAATTGAGACACCAGAAACCGAAGGCAGCTCTTCGAAAACTAGCGCGTAACTGCAGAAATCTTCACACTAATCTTGAGGCCTGGGCAAAAGAAAATAACCTCGCATGGCTCCCTCACTATCTTGATTCCCTTCTTTCCTTTGCGGATTTTCTTGATAGCTTCGCCAGGAAGGGGGTAAGCGTCCCTTGAGGGTAGGTGTTTCATGGCCTTGGATGAGAAGCACAATCGCCTATCATTTTTTTCACTTTTCCTCTCGCAGCCACTCAAGTCTATTTTGCACTTGGTGCTGACATACTGTGACTCAGAAGCATTTAACCCTGAAGTAATGCCACCTAAATTGCAAGAAGGCGTCGTCGTTAATGTCGACACTGATGGTGAGTAAATACGCCTTACCACGTTTTTGATATCAGTTTAGCTGTGTGATTTTGTGTTGTGAACTTGGAATCTCAGCCGTAAATCCATCACATGCTAGTATTCTGTGAACAAATTTATCTGATATCCTTATTAACTTACCTTCAGCTGTATCGGTAATTGATTCGCTTGGGGAAGATGGGGTGGGGATGAGGAGGGGGAAGTCACTGGCCGACGTCGTCAAGTGTTTTAACGACTTTTATGAGACATTTTCAAATGCCATCACCACTGAGTCGGTGGATCCACGAGTGCCCTGGCAACGCTTGGCGGACCTGGAAAGGCAGTTCAACATATCTTCTGGTAAAACCCTCCTCACTTTGCTTGCTGATGCCTCCGCCGAGGGATTTGAAGGACTAAAACCAAAGGTAGAATCTTTCATGCATTTACTGTGCACTATTCGCAACCCATTTCATTCATTTCAATCCAGTGTATTGTTAAAATACCAGTAAAAACTTTGTTGCCGCTATTGGATTATGGGTATGCTTATTACTGAATTTTTAGTGCCTGTTTATCGATGGGAAGTTAAACGGCACCCAACTGCAGGTGCAACAGTCAATCGAAGCAGAGCCTCAAACCTCGGAAGTAGGGGCGATGACGGATGTTTCTCGCATCTGGGGTTTCCTTCGTCATCTCACCTACCTGACGGAGCGTTCCGCTGAGGTATTTGCATTGCGACCAAACCCCCTTTTTCATTGGTTTGTGGTCACTTTGCTTCTGATTTACACGTATTTCTTTTCTTGCAGGCTTTGATGGACGTGACGATAGAGCATCTGAACATTCCAAGGTCTCCAAGTGTTTTGCAGTCGATTCGATGCATTCTCACTGATGCTTGTGTTTCTCCAGCTAAGTATCATTTCTTGGTTCAGTACGTAGTCTTCTTTATTACATCCGTACTGTTAAGGTAGCATTCATCCTCCTCATTTGTGTTGGGTGGTATAAGCCTGTCTATGCCCATTTGTGTTATGACTATTGGCATTTTCATACACTAATTTGGTTGACAGTTTGATGTGCTTTTCAGTGATGCTATTTTCTCTATATCAGAGTCAGAGATCACTCGCTAGCTGATTGAGCATCCATTTATAAGCTGTATGTCTAACACTAAGATTTGAATGGTAGCAAAGACTTAGTGATTTGCTGCTTTTATAATTTAGATTCCCTGACGAACTATTTGATCTCAGCATATTTGCATATCCACTTTTCACACCTTTGTTATTGTTCCTTGAGTGGTTCTACTTCTGTAGCATAAATTTAAGGTATAAGTATTTGGTTTCATGGGAAAAGTGTTTGGGTTGAAAGTTGGTGCTTTGTCTTGCGTTACGTTTGTTTATTGATGAAAGGAAACCTTTCTGGATTACTAAATACTTGCGCATAAATTTGTAGCATAGATGTACTCCAACGTTGAAGAGTCGAGTTTTAAAAACACCACCGATCTTTCTTCGTATGTGTGCAATTTCCATGAAACATTGCCGATCCCATTCAATTCTTGTCACAACATAGCATGCATCTTTTTGTAAAAATAAGATGTATTTTGATTTAACCGCTAAATATGGTTTGCCAACAATCCCAAAAAGGGTCTCACTTTTGACCTCATATGCATACCTTGTAATCGGTCCACATTTCTTCCATACAAAATGCGTCTGATTCTAATTCTTTTGAGTGTTGATTGAATTAACTCTTAAAAAACCACATCAGAATGCTCATTTTTTAGCCCTCAGGAGTGGAGTTTCTTGAGTGCCCGGACAGTGAGCTCACAAATGCCCTCGAAGTTGTTCACCCAGCGCTCCGTCGTCTTGCGTCTACTCGCTTCATGTCCGGTCCTCGAGAATCCTGAGGATTGGAGCCTTTGGTCCCTCTGCCCTGCCTCTCTCGCCGCCCACTGGGGCCCCTTTGATGAATTCCTAGCTGATGTCGCCGCTGACACCGAAAGTACTTTATTTTACATCGAGATTCGGGTCATTTAGTGCTTTGTTTTTACAGTAAAAATCGATTATCCTATCAGTAGTTCAAAATGTGTAGTTTGTTCATTTTATCTGATTGGTTTAGTCTGCGAGAAATACAATCTGGCTGTAATCAAAGTTGCTGGCAATGGATACATTCGCCTGAGCACTAATGCATCACCAGATGACCTTGACACCAACCTGTCAGAGTGCGCCTCGGGAGTGAACGGTGAGGTGGGATGTACCGCAGCTCGTAAACTCTGCGATTTGCTGATTGGATCAATTCTCCTTGTGAATCGGTTCATCCTTCCGAATGATTGCGTCAACATCGTTAGTGCTAACTTGAGATCGATCCCACGTAAGCCAATTCAAGCCGGTTGGTTTATACATCAAAGCTCATTGTTATCTACCACTGTTTTTAATATTTTGGTAAAAATTTGCAGTTCAAGACGTATGGCACCATTTTATCCGCCGTATAATTCTCGCAACACCCTTATCATTGCTCGGCGTTCTATTTTCTAAGGTAATATGTAACGTTTTGTTATTTTAAGTGAATTTTTCCAATTTGAAAGAGCTTGAGGTATTCTGAAGTGCTAAATTTTGATGCGGCATGTATAAATAACTTTCTGCCTAAATTGAAACGTGATTTCGTATGGAATCCTTAGTTTACTAAGGATTAGAAGGGATAAACCCGTTTTTTTCATATTGAATCCTCCAAGGTTCTCCTTCCCGCACTCGCGAAGAGTTTTGTGCTGGAGGAGGGAGGAGGTCTCGAAGACCTCTTGAGATCGGTAACGGAATTGCGTGAGAGGGACCGTATAGTCACTGGCATCGGCGTCATTGGTGGCCAACTTGGCTGGTTGCAGTGGGTAGACATCTTCAAGACGCATCGCCTGTCGGCTGCTGAATATACGGATTGCACACCATCTTGCCGAGCCACTGTGAGTTTTCTTTTTCTTTGATAATTAAGAAATAAACCAGGCTTTCGTGCCTTATGCGATTTTTCGATTTTTTGTAGAAGAGCCTTATTTTCAATTCTCTGGAGCGTTCTCACGAAATACCGCTTCCATCCACAGAAACTTTATCGATTGCTGTAACAGAACCTTCTTCGAAAGACGTGATAGAGTTTGAGACTTCTTCCATGGAGGGCTCTGCAACTGGTGAAGAAAAGACTGAATGTCGTGAATTCATAGAAAATCTCAGAAGAACCGAATTCGGTCTGGGAATCGATTTAGATGCCCAGGCTTCAAGTCTTCTTCGTGTAGGATTTTGAGGTTTCTCGACTTATAAGGCGACTACTTTTGAAAGCATGCGGGGCAGCGCCTACATGCTATTTGGTAGCCATAGGTATCATCCACTGAAAGGCATCAGCATGTCTTTCTCCGCCGCAGAACAAATTAATATCGATAGCCGGAGTTCAAAATGTCCCGTAATCTTAGATAATCCTTGATATTTCCTCCTTTGGGAGTTACTATGAAAGGTAACTTCACATTTAGGTGCTTATCATTGTTAAATATTGTAAAGATTGCCATAAGTATAGCCTACTATTGTAGCGATTCTCCTACCCGCAACGTTAGTTAATGGATGGCATCAGTAGTTAAAGGCGTCTAGTCTCATAACTTAAAGACCACATTGCCTGAATGGGGGAGGGTCCAGGTAGTCAATGGCGCTAGTATGGGTTATCTTCCTCTGAGGACGGTTGAAAACAGGTGGGGATCTGATGGACTTTTACACATGAGTGGATGATCTTTGGACAGTTTTGATGTTGACACGGTCAAATCGTTACCGTTGCAGTGCCTCGAGGGTCGCCTCCGTCGTAGCCTGGATCACCTCTCACGCGAGCTGTATGGTCAGCGGGGGCATTTCATGTTGGAACTGATCCAGAACGCCGACGACAACGTTTACGCGTCGGATGTCACACCGAGCGTTCACTTCCTCCTCTCCCCAGCTGTCCTCACGGTGCTCAACAACGAGGCCGTTGGCTTCTCCCCAGCCGATATCTCCGCTCTCTGCGACATTGGCATGAGCACCAAGATTGGGCATCGCGAGGACAAGATTGGTGAGAGACTAATTTAGTTTCTCCACACTTGTTTCAGAACCATTCGTCACTTGTTTGGTTGTGGAGTCTTATGCCGCCAAAACTGGGTTGGGATTTTGGGAGAAAGTGCTCGTGGTTAACTGTAAAATAAATATCTTGCATAGCTTCCTCTTCCTTCAAGCATCATCCTCGGTGTTGCCGGTAGTTACCGTTGTGCCTCTTATTGCGAAGGTCAGAGAACATATGGGGCGATGCCAATACATTGCTTATCCTAATCGCAAACCGCACAATGATTTGGTTTATTGTGTCTAGGTAAGAGTAGGTTAGCTTTTTACAGCGTCTACTTGGCTTATGCTGATTTCTCTTTGTAAGGTCATTTGAATGAAACCAAAAACAGACGAAACGCGCAACACGATGTATTTTCATGGGACTACTTTTTGTATTCATTTCTCCTTTCCACCATGGTCCCCGTCTATTTTAACCACTATTAATTTCTCTCTGAGGATTTCAAATCTTCCGAAGTTTGTCTCTCTCCGCTGCTAGCCCTTATGGCGGATTCGAGGTTGAAATATTTGCCTAAAGTTGTCGTAGTTGTTAGTTCTTTCTACAGCTGGTGCCTCGCCCCTATTATTCAAATGGAATGTTTTATACCTAATCGGACTTGGTTGTCCTCTGGAATAGGTCCAACACTGCTGCCTCCAATGCAACGCTAATACTACCTCTGAGAGCGCCATAAGGGGTGTTAATCGGCCAATACCGATGTGTAGATATATATAGCACCATTTTTGCTTTGTTTATTGCTAATGTAAGTGTGGCTCCTATCATTTCTCATTTTATTTTTGAGAACACTTTGGATTTAACTACTTCGGTTCTGTGTCCATTTACCGTATACTCTATCGAATGAGTTACTTGTTTGTTCTGTGCGGTGAAGTTGAAAATTTATCCGCACCTGTACTATCCTTTTGAGAGGACATTACCGTTGCATACCCGCTTGAACTTTCAACTAAAAGCGGATAACGGATAAAAATCGTTTGCTCCACCGTGTCAGGTCGCAAGGGTATCGGTTTCAAGTCGGTCTTTGCGGTATCTGATGCACCCGAGGTGCACTCCAACGGCTTCCACGTGCGTTTTCATCGCTGCCAAAAATCTGATGGCACTCTCATCTCCATCCTCACACCCGAATGGATTGCCTCACCCTCCTCTTGCAATTCGGAGAGGGAGTGGAGAACTCTATTTAGACTGCCCCTCCGCCCAGCCACCCAAGTTTCCTCGGCTTGTGCAGAGTCTGTCTTGACGTTTGCTCGCCACCTCCTTACTCATCACCTTCTTCTCTTCCTGCGACGCATCGATTACATCGCTTTCGAGACCTCTGTAAGTGATACCTCTTCTCCCTCCGGCTTTAAGAATATATTCACATCTTCCAACCTCCAATTTTGCATAGGATCTGTCCATCAACCTGGATATCCGACTGGAGAGAAAGAGTAGGCTAATCCTCACACTGGGTGGTCCCAATCCCTCCTCCCTCAAACTCTTCACCATCACAGGAGTGTGTAATGGATGTCAACAGATTTCGAAGTGGCTTTTTCTCCGACATAGCGTCTCCGTTGCTGTGGAAAGGTTGAAGCGACTTTCTGGAGGCTCATCTGAACTTGAGGTACTTTCCATTGGCACGGTTTGTGTAATTTGAAGCTTGTATATTTTTGTTGACAAACATTGGTTGTGTACTGGACAGGCTATTCCACGTCAGACTGATATCGCGATAGCCATTCCCCTATCAAACGAAGTCCCGCCTTCCACTTTTCCACTCTATGCATTTCTCCCTATACGAAGCGCTGGATTCCAGTTTCTACTTAATGGTACGATCCCTCTTTCGTGACCACAGTAGTCAAACCATACTATTACTGACGTGTTTCTTTACCCTTTGGAATTCCTAGCCGATTTTGATTTGACTTCTTCACGAGAGGATGTTGACGAGAGCAGTGTGTGGAATCAGTATCTGGTTAACCAAATTCCTGCTGCCTTTGAAAGCCTCATAAATTGTGTCATTAAGGTAAGTTACTCTTTGAAATCTGGTCCCTTTTTATCTGCCTTCTTCCTCTGAGCAGATGTCGTCTTTCGACGGGATTCCACTGACGCAATATGAGATTTTGGGACGAATTCTCGAGTGCCTTCCCATAAAGAATCGTACAAGCACCACAGCAATGGGAATATTTGCTTGTCTGGGGGAAAAAATTTGTGAGAAGCTGTCCAGTATTCCCTGGTTTCCTGTACTGAGCGAGGCTAAATTTTCACTCCCTAACAAAGTCCTTCTTAGCTCGCAAAACTTGCTTCAGGTCAGTGTTTGTGTTCGTTTGATTTCTTTGCTAGAGGTAAGTGTTTACCGATAGCATATTCAAAATGGGTTTTTTAGTCTTTGATGAATACAGAATGTCTTTTATTTGATTTAATGATCTGCTTTATTTGTTTTAAATCGAAACAATGCGGTATTTAGGTTGATTGCGAAATTCATCTACCGACGACAGTTTCACTAACGTCAGGCCCTGTCGTTAATGCGAACAGTGTTTTTTTGTCCGGGCGACGAACATTTCGCTCATTTGCGTGATTTCAAAAGACACTGAACTCTTTCGTTTGGTCGATAGATTTTCATGAAACTTTGGTTGACATTACAAGCGGGGAGTTAGTTCATCAACTTACACCACCGCTTTCTTCATGTGTTTCATCTAGTTCATCCCCTTTTGCCTCTGGAGATCATTATCCAACCATGCCGTGAAATAATTAGGTTTTATTTCATGACAGTAAAGAAGTGCAGGCTTTCGAAGTGTTATCTCATTCAACATTTGTTCATTACTCCGCACTGATGTTTCAGGCGATTTAATCGAAACCAAAGCACACTGTCATTTCGAATTGACACGTCCACTTCCCTTGGTTTATCATTGTTGAGATCTCGATACACTGCGTCTTTATCGTCACTCCACTGTCTACTTTTCACCATTTACAATTATCTCCTGCCTTGCTGCTTCTATGGTGAAATCCGTGTGTCTGTGTATCATCCGCAAATATATTCATAACAAGTGTTTGCAGTAATGTTAATTCGCCTTTACCGCGATAAAAGGTGTTCAATCCAATTGCGGTCTTAATTAAACCACATTATTTGATGGCAGTTTGCTTGATGCGCTTGTTTTAATTGTGATCGTGGATGCTCAAACTCGACCTAGCCCCAAGGGTAAAACCTCTAACTTTTTTGTCAAAAATAAGGAGTTGAGGACTGAAATGAGTTAATCTCGTTTTTTACCTTTCTAGGTCAGTGATTCAGTGGCCCCGGAGACATATCTGTTTCGCCTTCTGATTGACCGGCTGGGCATGTACGAGTTGGAGCAGACATTTCTCGTGCCCCCTCGGATCGCTGCTAATGATGAGGAGGTGGACGTAGAGTCGATTGCTTCGTTGGAGCAGCGCATGGAAAAGCTCTTTTGTCTCGGGGCACGCCGCATTTCTGCCGATGCTCTTATTGAGCTGGCTTCCACCTTGTCCGCAGGCAAGAGCACAACATTTGCATTTGCAAACGCTGTTATCATCAATATTTGAGTTCAAATTTTAGCTAAAATTTCAAGTACTTTCAAAGTACGCAAAATACTTTGTATTTTCCCTTGGTCCACCATTAAGCGCGATTCCCAAGCTCTTTTTGCTTCAAAAAGTAAATTTCGAAGTTGGCATTTAAGGCCTACCTGCTTAGTTTTTAAAAATTGTTCAGATAGATCTGATTGTGAAATCGCTTTTTTAAGCAGCTGACAAACTTTTTTACCCAACAGTAATAGTCTCCTGGTCAAAATGTGCTGCTGTTAAGCGTCATTACCTTTATTATTGAAAATCATCTCTTTCCACTTTAAATCCACATCATAATGACATTAAAAGTGACAACCCAATCTATCTTTCTTCTCTTCTTCCCTCCGCCGTTTGGCAGAAGAGCTAAATCGACCGGGCGTCCTTTACGTCCTGCTAGCAAACATCGACTCACATCTGCGTTCCGCTTCCTCCTTCCACCAACAGTACCATCGCACGTCCTTGACGGACCGTGCAGCTTGGCAACGTCGATGTTTGCGTAGTCTTCGTGGTGTGCGCCTCTTCCCCCTCCTTGACGGGCGTCTGGTCAGTCTGGAGGAGATTGCTGATGCGATGGCAGACAGCAGTGGATTATTGAGACATCGAAATAGTCTCATGATTCCACCCAAACCACCATATTCTTCGAAAGACCAACTGAAGAGTGTCTATGGTGAGACACCTTCTGTTCTTTGTTATCAGTTACCCACACTTATTGTTTACCGCTCTATTTAAGGCCCAAAACGATATGGACGCTCAAATGACAGTGCTTTAAACTGTCCCAAATTATTGTTCTGTGGAGAAGAACATCAAATGTAAAGAACTAATATTTAAAAAAATTAGGCCCTGTAGGGTGTATTATCTATCACGCCTGGCCTGCAAAAGGCAACCCAAATGTTCTCTTCGTATTTTACCCAACTTAAAATGGGTATCAATGAAATCGGTTATTTCCTTTCACTTAATGACTCCGACATGCGGTAGGTGCTTCAGTCTGCTGGCAGCCAGTTTGACTGTATCATTATTTTGCATCCTGACGGGTCTTCACCTCCATAATGGTATTTTGATGAAAAATATTTACCTCCTTTGTTACCGATGTGAATTCTCTTTACTGTCGATTTAATAATGAGTAGGAAGGTATTTTGGCTCTTCAATTCCGTACTTACGCCTACCTGCGTTGTTACTACATACAGGTGACTACCTGCAATTGCTTAGCCGTCTCGGGCCATTGCTTTCGCCCTCATCCATCTACCCCATGGACAGTACATCTCTCGAACTGCCAAGGCTATTGACGGCTTCGGACGACGGGTTAGGACTCATTGTAGCCAATTCATCTCTCGACGTCATCAACCGTTGGATAGTCTCGCGTCAACCCGATTTCAATCTCGAGAGCACACAGGACGCTGATTGGTTTATTGCGGCAGCGCAGCTGATTATCCATGCTGGCCACTTGGATGAGGTGTTAATTTCCCGCCTGCCAATTGTTTGTGAGGCAGCAAAGTCATTGAAATTGTTCAATCCAAGCGCCGATGTGGCTTTTCTGTCTCCTGTCTTTCTCAAACACGTCCCGGACACGGAGGAGCATGAGATTATGTCGTTGTGTGTGGAAACGGTGGCGCAAAACGATTTGCAGGAGGGAGGGGGAGGCTCTATCTTGCTGGCATCTTCTAACTACTTTTCTTCATGTGGTCCATCGCTGGAGTTGGATGGTCCCGAAGCTTGTAGCAAGTGGCAGAGCTTGTTTTTAATTGCTGGTAAGCCCACTTCATAGTTTCTGGTCTCTTGAATATGTGACTTTTAAATGTTCAACGGTAATGGAAAACCGTTTACCTCTGACCTCATTTCAGGACTTTCCACTATCCAAACACTTCATCTTCGAAAATATCGACTGAGCGTTGCTCCTGCCCACCTTCCACCTCTTCCATCCACTCACACTTTGAAACTGTCGCCTGCTTTGATCAGTTTGGAGGGTGAGGGAGACACCGTTATTGAGGATTGGACATGTCCAGGTCTCGAGAATCTCGTGCTGCCGTGGATTGAACAAACAACTGAACGATTCGGCCTAAATAAGTCAGCAAAGGTTGTTTGCGAAAAGCTGGCAATGCTGCTGAGTCGAAATTGGGACCAGTCTTTCGAGAGGTAGGTTAAGAACAAACACTAGGACTCTACTTTTGGTGCTTTTTTAATTTCATATGTTGATGATTAGGATGCAGTCTTCAGGTTCTTTCGGAATGCACTTAAATCTGAAAATAGTTTTATTTTGAACATGTAGGAGAGTTGTGAGACTATCATTGCAGGTAGTGAACAGGACCTGCAAGTCATCGGTGCAAATGCTGAATCTTGGGATAGAGCAGAAAGCTGAATTTGATCCTCTTATATCGTTAATGTGATCTCTTCGATAGACCTAGAGGTTAGAGCCTGATAGTCCTAGTAAACCGAAGGAGCCTCTCTTTACAGTATCTTATTGAACATCGTTCCCAATTCAATTGGCTTACAATATTTTGGGTTCAATGAAACATTTCTGCATTGCTTATTTCTAGTATATCCTACTAAAATGGTTTTTCTTTGCAGCGGACACTTTGCGGTGCTAATTGCCTTTCCTTTACGGGGTCGGTTCCACATCCATTCAAATTATCTTTTCCTGTTTCACTTCTCGTTATATTTCGCGTTAAGCTCCTACCAATACTACGCACTTCAGACAGCCTTTGTATGAGAATTTTGCCACCTTTCCAAACCATTGATCCCTCTTCCATTAGGTACGCTCTGGCCGTTGCTTACAAAGTGACCGACGCCAACAGAAGAGGGGAGATGGGAAGCGAGAATGAACGAGTTGTCCTCGGCGCTTCCTCATGGTTGCAGGCACTGCGCACGCGCAGATGGCTTGCCCTCACCTTGGCTGTCAATACCGACGACGGTGATGGAGGTTTGCCAGAGCTTGTCGCAGCGGCGGATAATTACCGTTCCGCCACGGCAGCGACCAATTTCGTCTCCACGCCCCCCATCTACGCACCTGCCGTGTTTACGGAAGGAAATGGTGTTACCGTTCCCCTCCCTCTTTTTGCTCCCCTCTGCCCCCTCTGGCAGTCCTTTCAGACTTCTGAGGAGCCTCCAGCACCCGGTCTACTCACTGCTCTTGGGGTGAAGCAGATCTTGGATGAGTCCATTTTTCAGGTGGTTTAACCTCATCGCTTCATTTTTATCACATTAAAAATGGACGATATTGTTTGCATTACAAATTACTTTCGATTAAAATCATAACTTTTCATTTTCCACGTTTACTTCTTCAAGTAGTTTTTATTGTGAGAAACAAAGAGTATTTCATTGGCTAGAATCTCCCATGAACGTGTTTTGACTTGCCCTTTTGCTTGCTTACCATTGCCGTTCCTTCCAACATATTTTACCCTATCCTTGACCGATGGTCGCTTTTCTGTTTGTGTATCCAATTTCCATAATGTAATGTTTGTTAGACCTCCTGTTGGCTTTTTTTTACATAATAGGGTCTCTCCGTTTCAGCACCTAATGGACTACCTTTTGAAGGACCCATGCAATCTACCAAACACTCTGACCGTGGAAACCATTCTTCAAGTCTACGGTCTGGCGCTTCAAGCCCTTGGAGATACACGTTCCGACATACTGCATCGCATCTTCAGTTCCGCCCTCCTCGTCCCCTGCAGCGCAGCGCACACCGCTCGCAAAAAGCGCACAAAGCTCGTTGATGACGTGGACCTCGACCGACAAGAAGAGGAGTCGGCCACTGATTGTCCCTTCTGTATGCCCCAAGTCAAAAGTCAGCGTCGGAAGAGGCATTCTTCAGACACGCTTTCCTACCACTTGGTTCCTGCGCGCCGCACCTGTTGGGAAAAGATACGGCTACCTCCCCTCGACCGCGTTGGTGTCGTTCGTGCGGTCAAATGCGACGTGGAAATGGAAGTGGATGAGGATGACGAGTGTGTACAAGTTCCTGTGCCTTCAATGAACCCAGCTTCGGTTGTTGCTCCATGCTGCTCATCTTTCGATCGACGAGTGCCACTGTGTGATATATACGGGTCCGAGTGGAAGAGCTTCTTTTGTGGGGTTTTGGGGGTGAGTCGGCTCTTTATTGTGATTTTGTACATCTGTTATTAAAGTAAATTTATGCAATAATTGGTAGATAATAAGTGTGCATTGTTTTCTATTGATAAGTAATTTTGTAATGAACAATGGAATACTGTTCTACTGTGCTATCATCTGGGCCCTGGTTTAAAACTACTCAGAGCTGCAGATATCCGATATGGAAACTACTACATAATCACGTTGCATAAAATAATAGGCCTTTAGTTTTAATCTCACACGCAACGAACTTTAATGAAAACAGGTGCCTCTGACATCCTCATTGGCCGAGGTACTATCTAAGCGTCCACTTCCGCCCTCCACCCCATCGGACACAAACCATGGCAACTGGCGCACCGCCCAGGAGGCGTTTGGCCGTCGCCTCGCTGCATGGTACGCCCTCATTAATCGCTGCCTCGTTGCACACTCCGGCACTACCTCCATCACCGCCGAGGAAGGTGATGATCTTGTCGCTACCCTACGTGATTTCCCCCTCCTCTATGACATGACCGGCACTTGGCGTGTGCCCAGTCAGGTGACCTGCTCGGTGAGTCTTGATTCCTACTGCCTTCCTTCATTATTACCTGATTTCACTTTCTATGGTTAAGGTTTGCTGATTTGATGATCTTGCGCTTTTCATTTTTTATTTATTCAGAGGCAATGTGTTGATAGCTGAGATGGCATTGAATTTCGGAAAATGTAAACATTTGAGTTTTAGCAAGGGTGTTCTCTACCATAACTCCTGGAACGAATGACTGTTGAAAAATAAAAATCCTGGCTGGCTACTTCTTCAGACGGATGTATAAGCATACGGAGTTTGGTTGAGTGCTTGGTCTATAGACTTTGCCTTCTAATTGCCTTCTAATTTCTTAATTAGGCCCTCTAACCTTGGAGCTCACAACTTTCCAGTACAGAGCTGTGTCGGCGTTTACTAGAAGTAATAAATAAGTGCTTCCCCTTCCTTCGACTGCGGTATATACTAGTTGACGTATTCTCAAATTTCTAGTCCCCACTTCAATGCCTCTACGCGAAACCTGTAACGTATTCTAGTGCTTTTATCTTCGGGTTTGTGTTGGTTTTCACCAAAAGTAATTCAATCCTTACCACTACTTCTATCCCTACTTTCCTAGAGATGCACCATCAAGCATGCCTTTGACTGAAAAGTGTTTAAAATACCATTTCTCTTGAGAACTATTGTCGTGCTGGTGCTATTCATGTCCTGCGTCTATTTTATTCGTAGTTTCATTTTACGTGTATCTTTTTTTTACTCTAAAGCCGACAAGTACCGCGGACCCCGGGCTGCTATTTGCCTGGTCTGCGGCCGATTTGGCGACCATGCTGCCGCCCACGTGTCTCCTCGGCCATGGTCTGGAGATCCTTAGGGGCGACACTGAGCTCTCAACGTCCGAAAGACAATCTAAACCAATGTCGGACTCGCACTTCCTTCTCCTTAATATCTTACGTCTGCCTGTAGGTGCTTCTATCGCGTTAGTTTTTGGGTGCGAAGTTGGGAGGGAACTAAGCTGATGAAGTATCCTCGTTAACTTTATGGAATGTTTCAGTTGGAGAAACCCACCAATAGATTGAAAGACGATAATTAAAGTACGTTTGGACAACTTTTCGCACTTCCCAATTGCCGTGATTTGGTCGATTTCGGTGGTGAACGGGAACAGTAGATGAATTGGCTAAGGTGTTAATCGTACTTATCCCAGCAAATGTCGGATATGAAAACTCGATAATTTTTAAGCTTGAAAGTTGTATTTCAATAAATTTTGTAATCCACTATTTTTGTAGCGTTGACCCTGACTTTTCGCATTCATACCGTCCCCTATTTGCACCTTATTTTTACTTACAATTTCAGTAAGATACTTGATTTATATTATATCGTTTCATGCTTAATGTAATTGACTTCCATTTTCTACCGAGTTGGAATATGTTTTGCCACTAACAGT